ACACTTAATGATGTGTATAAATTTATACATGCTAAACGCGCGCTAGCTAAAGTCTTATAGTTGTTCGCACCATACGTGTACAGTGTCAATAATGTTGTATCGTTTATGTGCTTCAAATGTGTTTAGCTCAGAACTCTTAAAGGATCTTATCGCGCGATTTTTCATATAAAAAAAGATCTATTTTTTTTTCAATGTTTCATTATAATAGAAAATTATGCTAAATATATAATTGCTAAATATATAAAAAATTGAAAACATGATATAAAGTATAACGGTTTCTCGTTACAATGAAGATTTAACATGCATTTTGTCAATATAATATTTGGCGATCCTAATTCAGCTACTTTTATTAGAATGTTATTTTGACTCGAATAATATACTCAATTATATATCAACTTTTTTATAAATTTGATATGTTAAAAATTAATTTTTTTTAACGGAAAATTATCAGATCGAAATATTGTTATTAATATTCACAATATTTCTTACTTTCCTTAAATTGTAATTTCTCTTGTAAAAATTTATTCGCGCGTGTATTAGCTAACATATAACTGATAGTGTTTAATATTCAATTACTTTTTCTAGAAATATATATATTTCGAGATACTCATGATTTTTAAATAACACTTAGAAATCATATTCAAAATCATATTCAAATTAAAATATAACGGGACGATAGAGAAAGATTATCCTTGGGATACCCCTTGTTGCGTGCGTAGGGTCCTGTTAAGAGGCTGCCTGGATTTTTTGGACCATAGTCGTCCTATCATACAGTCACGCGTCCTTTCCTTTATAGAGATTTCTTAACAGCCGGCTTTATTGGTAATCCACGACAATAATACCGATGCCTGATGCCGATGGTGCGACATTCTCGAATCCGCAGCCTCCTTCTTTTGTACCATTTTCTTGTGTGTGAGTGCTGACAGAGAGAGACGGACGGTACCCACGAGTAATCAATCAGGTAGAGACAGTACGCAACTAAACAATATCTGTTAGTTGACAATATATAGAATGTTCCTCAGTAAGTATACTTCATTGCAACTGTGAATTTCTTGGTCGATTTTGAGTTTATTTTCTCAGCGAAAATATCGAAGATAATCATTGTCGCAATCTGTCAATTTTTAACTTTATATATAGAGCTTCAATCTAAACTGTCTAAAATTAAAGCTAAAAATTAAAAAATTTATTTGAATATAATTTCATATATTTCATCTCTCCTTATTTCTTTATAAAGCGCTTTTATAATTTAAAAGTATCTTTAATATCAGTCGTTTATATATAACTAGGAAAATTCTATTTCGACATTTTTGCAAAGGACAAAATCAATTCCAAATTAATCAAATAATTTACAGTTGCTTTCAATGAGGGATATTCCGTATATTTTTTCTGTATACAACGGCGTGTTGTATGTATGATATGTATGGATGCGTACAGCGCGGATGTATATTTGAATGTGGGGAACGCTAGAAATCATTGAAGAATTTACATTGTAGGTGTACATATATATATATATATATATATATATATATATATATATTGTTATATCTTTTAAATGATCTGATAAAATGATGACAAAACGATACCGGCCTGGAATTGCGCGTGTAAATAGTTGTGTTACCGCTCATCTGATATGCATGTAAGGTGCACGATTCTCTTATTCGGCTTCGATTTATTTTGTACTTCTAGAGAACGTCGAACCACCTTGTCAGTATCACAATGTGATTTTTCCACCTGAGAGCTTCGAGTATTTCGTTCTCGAATGTCTTGGACCTGGTATACCCACGGTGGCTCTCTACAAAATGGAGATGCCCAAACCGCGGCTCATCACGATATTGCAGAACAATACATTGTTACGCGTAAGTTAAGCTTCAAATTATCTGCGGGTTTTTGGTGAAGTACATTCTCTTTAGAGATGTTTGTCGATTTTTTTCAAACTGTACATGTTAATGTATTTTCTCACGGATGTGTGTTTATTGTAGGAAAGAGTGGCAAACATCGCACTTCCGCAAGTAAAGACATTTCCTGTGCAAATAAGCGGCGGTTACAATGCTCAGGTGAGATTACACCTACCTCCTGGGCTGAGGGAAGATGAAATTACGCGCTATCCATTGGTTGTTCAAGTGTAAGCACATTTTACATACATTATAATTTATTGTGTTTATTATCGTAAACAACAGATGTTGAATAAACTCAAAAGAGTTGAACTTTTTAAATCCTCATAAATCATATCGAGGAGTAGCTTGATCTCTAATATTTCTTTTATTTATTATACATTTTTATTATAAGAAAATTATGTATATATATATATATATATATATATGTATATATATATACATATACATATACAAAAGCCTTGTGTGTAAGATTTTCTATCATTAAAATCTATCTTAAATCAATGAGATGATTGATATAATTACTGATCAACTTATGTAGTATAATTAAATATGAATGGTGATCTATTTAATTTGCTCATAATAGATCTAGAAAACGAGTAAAATTTATATTGTGTTTTCCTTTGATGTATTTATATTTATTGAATAATTCATTTATACCAATTATAAGTTAAAGATACAAAATCTTTTTATCTGCAGAATGTCTAATTTTTTTTCACAGATACGGTGCTCCTGGATCGCAACTAGTTACCGAGATGTTTAAAGTGGATTGGAACGCATATTTAGCTAGTCGGAAAAACGTGATTGTCGCACAGATCGATGGCAGAGGAAGCGGAGGACAAGGCTATAAATTGCTTCATGAGGTTTATTACCGATTAGGTTCCGTAGAAGTGGCTGATCAACTTGAAGTAACAGAGTAAGCAAGATATATATATATATATATATATATATATATATATATATATATATATATTGCGCCCTTCAGATTTTGTATTTTAAATTCATATATCTTAATCATTTTTATCTTTAATATATAAAATTCTCCAGTAATATATATTACTTATAAAACACTAGTTCCTAAAGGTTCCATAAAATTTGTAAAACTAATTTGCAATATTTCTTATACTCGATATATTTATGATGATCCAGGTATTTACGAGACTCGCTACATTTCGTGGATAAACGAAGAGTCGCTGTTTGGGGATGGAGTTATGGCGGTTTCGTCGCTGCCCTTGTCCTGGCACATCCAAAGCAAAACGTATTTCAGTGCGGAATAAGCGTCGCGCCTGTCGTCTCCTGGGAGCTTTTTGGTATTATGGATCGTTATTCTGGAATCGAAATTTTTCTAAAATTTTTTTTGCGTTTTGTAATTTTCTTATCATGATAATTTTATTTTACGAGCACAAATCTCATTGTTGCACAGATTCCGCGTATGCCGAGAGATACATGGGATTACCGAACGTGACATCAAACTACAAAGGCTACGCCGAATCCAACGTTTATGACAAAGTTGAATATCTTCATGATAAGATGTTTTATTTGGTACACGGGACTGCAGATGACAACGTCCAATTCCAACAATCTATGGCCCTTACTCGTCATCTCGCTAAAAAAGGCATACTTTTTCGGCAGCAGGTATTTCGACAATTTCTTTTGTAAAATGTTATATATATTTTACTTCTACGAATTAAAATGTAAAAACATCTTTTTTAAAATTAAATTTAACGTAAGCTTTAATTGAGACGAGAGATTTATTGTTATATTACAAATAATTATAATTAATCATAATAAATTATAAAAATATAATTATAAGGAATATAATTATATAAGAAATTATAAGGTTGCAACTCTTAAAAGCATTTATTTATTGATTTATTTATAGGTCTATCCGGATGTAAGTCATACTTTGGCGGGCGTTAAGGAACATTTGTATCTTTCGATGGAACAATTCTTGGAGGATTGCTTTCAAAAACAAGTACCTGTTGACACAAAAGCCGGACTCGGCAGTGGCGGTTCCGGCGGCGTGTATTAATATTAAGAGATATAGATAAATATTGCATAAAAAAAATATCCACACGAATTGCATAAAGTTGCGTAAAAAAAAAGAAGGAAAGAAAAAAGAGGAAAAATTGTGAAAATCTAAACATCTCCAAATTGTGTTCCGTTTAATAGAATATTTACAGAGGATATACGTGTGGCCCATCTTTTTGTACTCCAACATTCGAAATTATGGAATGAAATGAGAAATATGTATCATCCCGTGCGCGACTTATAATGCGTTTACACCGGTTAAAAAGAAAAGCACGCATCAATCATCCAATCAAATAAATCGTCTATGAAAAAGTTCAGTTAATATTTATTTAAAACGATACCTTGAAAAAGATATCCAAGGATGAACAATGGTAAGAGATCGATGAAACAAAAATTGCCACGCTTCCTGTACAGAAAGAGTAGCGTTACAATACACTATTTTACCACATATAATATACATACATGTATTATATAAGTACGTTTCTTAAAATATTTAAAGCAGTATCTTTAATTATTGCTTATAATTATTAAGAAAATGGCAACTTGCGCCCTTCATTTCACGAAGAACTTTTATGTTTGTACAACGTGACTTATTTGTCTTCTCTATTATATATATATCCAGTTAACTTTTAGAAATTAAATTTTCCAAAATGGTAAACTCTGATTTTAGCTTTTCTTTCACAAAGAAATCATTTTGACATTATATTTAAAAATTCTAAGTTGGAAACTGAACAAGTTATCAAAGAACACTCAATTTTTAAAGATTAATTTTAAATAATATCTTCTTTTTCTAGAAAAAAGATAAATAATAAAGAAAAGGAGAAATCTTGAAAGTTTAACTATATCTTCTTACAGGACATTTTTTAACGATTAAATTGTAAAGAAAACAAGCGATACAAGTTTATCCTGATTGATTATTATAGCATCATTATATCATATCTATTGCGCATACATAAGAAAGATGTTTAAGAAAAATCTTTTCAATATAAGTCTATTATTCATATATAATTTTAAAGATATAATATATTAATTACGCGATTAAATAACTATAATACTACAATATTATTTATCGGATAGTTAAAAAATCCCTCACAAAAAATTTACACCATTGAACAAATGTGTATTTTAACATGATATAATCTAAATCAGTCGTAACACAAGATAATGTTGCTTATATATGATTGTCTTCTTTTAAAATTACATGTTTGACCAAGAATGGCACGTTACGCGTGTATATGTCTACATCAGCAATCTCTGAATCTTTTCATGAAGCTTTCACGAGACCTGATATTCATGTCAGTCACAAGTCGGAAATAGACTTGATGTACTTTTTATTGGAGCATCTGCCTAGATGAAGCAACATGTGATTCTTCAGGTTGGTCGGTTTACTGAAGCCTCGGCTGCAAATGTGACATCTGAATGGCCAGAGCCCATTATGCACGTACATGTGGCTCTTCAGGTCACCCGGCGTAGGGAATGATTTTGAACATTGCGAACATTTGTGTGGCTTCTCCTAGAAAAACGTAATGAAATATTTTACGATGGACGCTATAATTCGAATAAATTGCTAACCGAGTATTCTATCGATACGAGAACAGAATGCAAAGTAAATTATATAAAGTCCATCACATCCTCCGATTTTACAAGAAATTATCTTGTCATTTTTTCTGCAACTTTTTTAAATCTATGTTGCAATGGCCAGATTTTATGCGTTATACATAGTTCTGCAATTGAAATTTTATTATTACAAAACTTTCATCAAAAATAAATAGACTCCAACTTTGTCAGAGAATCTGGACATAGAAGCAAAAACTCTTGTAAATCTTCTGAGGAAGATATTTAGTTAGCGGCGAAGCTTTTTTGACTAACGATTAAAAACGGTTCAGCTGCGCTCTCGATGATTCCAGTGGCAATTACTCACGCAGGCAGGAAGGCCGTTTAGCAAATAACCTTGCTAAACTAAAACCGGTGCGTACGCGGCTCGTTAAGGCCGCCAGCAACGCATCGCTTCTTCTTGTTACGTAGTGTACGTGTATGTACACACGCATAATACACCTTCTCTCTCTTTACACGCGTAATCTCGGATGCACCTGCCGATAGGTACGGTGTGTCCGCAAGCACGTGTATGAGTTCCTGCTCTCACAGACTTCTTTGACGTTCGCAGCTATATAAGATGAGAGCGGAACGCGATCGAAAGAGTTACATATGTATAGTATGTGATTATATGTATATGTATATAATTTTAAATAATCAAGAATTTGGTTTTTTCTTGTTAATTATAATCATGGAAATAAAAAATGGCATATAATATTTGTGTTGTAGAGAAGAAATATATTTTTAGTTCATAATCAATGAATTCATATTAATATCAAATCATAATTTATTAATTAAATTAGATAGATCATAGTTATACACAAAAAACATATGAGTTTAAGAGAAATATTTAATCATTTGAATAACATGTGTGTGAATAAAAATAAATGAATATCTTTGTTTTTATCAGAAATATTTAATTTGAGAAAATTATTGAATAAATGAATCTTTTAATTTCTTTATTATTAGAGATATTGTCAATTCAGATTCTATCATCTTTGAAAATATGATAATAATGCATGCTGCATTAATATTTTCTAAATCAAGAGAATCTTATATTTTTCATTTATACACTTTATATATTTATATATTTTATTTTAATCATTAAGTTAATCTTATTTAATTTATCTACGTAATCTATGATTTGTATTGCACAGAATTTATTTTCGAGACTAAATAAATTCTGTGCAATACATCTATTTTCTCTCGTTTAGGCAAGAAAGTGAAATAAAAAGTTAGGACGCCATGTATATCTGTTTGTTATAATAAGATCATATATATTGATCAAACAACAAATGATACGAACGGCAGTATCAGTATCAGTTGTGCTTTATTTTAAAAAATGCAGCAAAAGCGCAGTAACCAGTTGAAACGATTGAACATATCATTATTCACTTCCGATTGGCACGTTCAATTTTTGCGGAGGCATCTGTCGTGCCAAGAATTTTGTGAGACAGGTAAGAAGGCGAAATTCGGAAGAATCTCACCGCAAAAAGGGCGAGAAGAAGAGGGAAGGCGACGAAGCGGAAGGGGAAAATTAGAGCAAAACGACACGGACGAAGGTTGGAGTAGCAGGACGAACAGGACGTGTGCAACGACGACAGAGCAAAGGAGACGGGGATGGGGGAGAGAAGCGAGAGGGTGAGGAGCCTCCGGCTCTATACGTTCTCTGTCTCTCTAATTGGATTGCATTCCATGCGGTAGCAAGTAATGGGCCAATTACAGTAGCTGATGGCAGACCAACCTATATGGCTCCCGAGATATCATTACTTCGAATGGGATTAGAGAAACTCATACAGTTTCCGCTGCGATAAATAAAAACTTTGCATCCTCGCGATCACTTCGCACGTTCACCTTCCCTCCTGCTCCTCCTTTGGTCGCCTTCCACGATCATTGCTCGGTCTTTCTTATTGGATACTCCAGTTCTACCAGGCTTACGCGGAATTACGAGAAGCAAAGAGATGAAATCGTGTATGGCTTGAACGCGCAGAAATAGTACGAGAGCATCTTAACATTCCCGGATTAATAATAGTCTTATTTGATATTTTCATGATCTAAATCGAGCTATCTTTCCTTTTCCCTTTTTTCAATTTTTTAATTATAAAATATATATGTATAATTGGCTGCGCAAATCAAATTTGTCAATTTATTATAAACCGTTCATACCAATTCAAAGCGGAGCGTTTTTTGTATATGATATGAAATTCACTTATAATACACGCAACAAACTCGACATTTTTCTTATATAATTATATATATAACAAAGTAATATAAGTTAAAATTATATTTGTTAATCATACGCGTAATATAAATTTCACATGTCACTGATATTCGCCGAATGTGTATAAATTCATAACGATCTTAATCAACTATATTTCTCAACTGCATTTATAAAATAAAGAAGAAAATAAAAGAATGAAAAGTATGATCAATATTTAAAATCAATTATATTAAACATAAAAAAAAGAATTAATATATAATGGCTTCTGTGTAACAATTTTTATGTATTGTTTAATTAATTTTGTAAATGCCCGAATAATAATAATCTTATTTATTACCACAGTTAAAATTTTGACTGATGTAGCAACTCCAAATACTTTTCACATTAAATCTTTTTTTTTAGTTGATACGAAAAATAGGTGTAACGAATATGTGCCAAGTACTCACTTTGATATGAGTCATCCGATGATAGTAGAGATTCGACGAGGCTGTGAACTTCTTACCGCAGACAAGACATTGATGAGGTTTTTCACCACTGTGGATGCGCTTATGCGTGTTCAGCGAGCTCGAGGTTGAGAAACCCTTGTTGCACACCATGCAGACATGCGGTTTCTCTCCTTCAATTTAATACCATTCCTGAATTACCGTGTTGGTCCTTTACGTTTTATATGATTTCTGACTCGATTTATACGCGGACAACGTGGTACGATGTCCCTTTTTGTACGAGAACGCGTCATTTATCTCGATTATCGAGCAAAAATGATTGTGATTTCGCGTGTCATCTCGCGAACGGATACGCGAAATGAGAAATTTACGCAATTTACGAAGATGAAAATATTCTGTCCAGTTATATATTCTACAATTTTCCTTTATACTTTAAGAATATTTACAGTTAGCATGCTATAGTTTTAAAGTATATAGATCAATCTTTATGCATATAAAATTGAAATTTTCATTTTCCACGAGTTAAAAAATATTATATTTGGATACAAAATCCTGAGATAAAACATTAAAATTAATTGCTTTTTTACAATTTGAGAAAATATAATTTCCTTAAATAATGAAATTATATTGATTGAAATTAATTGGGTTTAGTGTAAATTTTATACATCAACTGTTTTTAATATAAATTTTACCAGAAATTAAAATTTTGATTTTGATCACAATTCGAAGATATTTAAAAGAGTTTTTATTCCACAATTCGTCAAACAAAAATCAATATTAAATTAATAAATAAATTTCAGGGAGCCGGCACTGTCTGAATATATTAATTACAAGTTTTCATTTCATACCTGTATGTGTTCTCATATGTCGTTTCAGAAGAGATGGCCGGTCGAAGGATTTGCCGCAGACTTCGCAAGGCAATAAAACTCTCTCCCCTCTTTTAATCGTCGTCAAGATGCTGCAATCGAGGTGATCACCGGCCAACGATAACGTTGATGATGAGGATTCCTCGGATGTCGATTCGTATTCATCCACCTCGTAATAGGAGTGTGATATCGGTGGCAGAGAATGATGAGCGAGTAGCGTCATCGACAAGTCCAACGGAGATTCTATGTAATTTAAATAAGAACATTTTATAATGATTTCAATTCCAAATTTAGAATTTAGAATTTTAAAAATTTAATAAAGTATAATATAACGAAGAAAAAAGGAAATTAATAAAATCTGTATGATGAATAAAATTTTAGAATTATCTCGTAAAAATACTTTAATATTTGTTAGTTTTCATTTAGTCTTTACAATTTTATTCTTTATATTAAAAAATTTTTTTAATATTGAGAATTCAATAATCAAAAGAGAGAAGATTATAATGCAAAAAATATTTTTCCAATTGTTCAATGCAATTAAAAATATTAAATAAAAATTTTATTCTCAATATATAATACTTCAAGTTTTGTATTGTTAATATTAATTCGAGTAAAAGCTAAATTTTAAAGTTTTATGCGATACATGTGTAGAGATACATGTGAATGTATTAAGGATATTTTTAACGCGACATTAAATATATTATTAAAACATACCAATCGATATAAACATAATATACGTAACGCTATGGGGAATCTTTAAAGCTTTTCATCTTGGAGATACAACTCTGAAAGAAAATTTCAAGTATAAGTTTTTTAAGCGTTAACAAAAATTTAAAAAAAGTGAAAGCATTTTCGTTTCCTGCCTTTTCTGTGGAATATTAGTAGAAAAATTCGAAGGAAGATACAGAATTTCTCGCGCTAGTTTTACTTCATCTTCCCGCGAATCGACCACCGTTGCAGTCGTTTAGTAATCGCAATGCAATCGGAAAAAGAACAACAAGATCACCGAAAACGATCTGAAATGCAAATACGCGGCGGCATTTTTGTCGGACAGATCACAAGGTTCGCGATTTCCGATTCAAATGCGTGGACTGTTCTGCCGCGCACGCCGAAGATATAAAGGACAGTACAATGGTTGCAGAGTAGCCATATAGATTCTTATAGTTACAGTATCGGAACGCGGCGTTTCTTGTGAATTTTCAGGACAGGGAATTGCAAACAAACTAAGTGCAATCGATAAATTCAGTAGTCGCCTTCAACTATATCGAAGAGGTTCTTTCTAGAGGTATAAATGAAAGCGATAGAAAAGGGGTAGTAGACAAATATAAATGTACAAGGATAGCTTCAATATTCATCATTTGTTTCTGATTAATTTTTATGTACAAATAATTCACATAAATGTATTTTGATGTTTATGGATGATATTTGCAAATAAATTTATCTATCGCGCATATGTTGCATTTTTTACTCACCGTCTAAGATAGAGTCGATCGTACATCTGTAGATAGCCGATCTGGAGCATACATCGTGCGAGATGATAACGAAATCCTGCTGTGTTACTGGTAGAAACCAAGCCACTAGTTCCGTGTCCGGTTGTACATCCTTTATTACCTCAAATATAGGTTCACCTGAGAAAAAGAACAGAAGAAAACAAAAGTGTTAGAGCTGCAAAGTATGAAAAAGGAGAAATATTAATATTTTATAAAAAAAATTATCTTGACCCGCTTGATCCTCGAAGATACATTATTTTACTTATAGAAACATTATTTTACAAATATTATCTTATAAACACTCGTGTAAATTGTCTTTTAAATCTTTAAAAATCATCATATTTGTGGAAAAAATAAGAGAAAGAAAGATAGTAACAATAAAAGTTTTCACAAAATGGAGAAAACAGATGTTCAAAAAATATTTTAAGAGATAAAAGAGATATTTAAACAAAAATTTCAATAAAAGCTTTTTTCAATTATATACTAATTAATTAATAATTTATATTATATTTTATTAATTTTTACTTTAAATCAATTCTTTTTTCGCATCTCATATGTTAAAATATATTAATATTTAATTAACAATATGTTAAAATTTAAAAAACGAATTATTATTTTCTAACTTACCCTTCACTTTTGTACCGATCAAATTAACTTGCTCATCGTACGACTGAACGATACGAAGAAACCTTATCCAATTGCACTGACGCTTGTTAAGATTGTAGTTGGAGAAGAAGACCTCGTCGTAACAGCCGTACTCGCGTCTGATCTAAAACCGCATCGCTTTAATGAATGGCGACTGTGAGTATTGGCTGTATCGAAAGATACATACAGATGATGCATATATTTAGTTGTTAAATTCCTTTTCAATAACTCTGACAACTGATAAATATAGGAAATGGCTTTATTTTTTTAACGAGTAATAACATTTTATTTTCGCGCCGACAAAATGGCTGACAATATTTCTATAACTATAACATTTTTTTGATATTTGATAGAATAAATATACACGCACATACACATATACACAAAATTACTCTGAGAACTTTATTTTAAATTGAAATAAAAAATAATTTTAATTTTTTCATATGTTATAAAGTATTATTCACGTAATATTTTAAAGATTATTTAGATTTTTATATAGCCAAATACAAAATAATTTGAAATTAATATTTTATGAAAAATACGCCACATATTGCTCAAATAAGGGTAGAGTAAATCGGTGATATTAATGCGTGTGTGAAAAGTATTATTCTTGTCAAATTATAATCATTCAAGAATCTATTTATAATTGTAAACAAATGCAAAATTACAAAATAATATAGGCACGTGTATAAATTTTTCATTTTATTGAAACATTGTATTGTTTACATATACTATTCGATCATTGTTCGATTCAAAAATACAATAATATTATTATTACTATCCGATGAAACATAATGTAAATGTTCTTTTAAGATATTGAATAAAAATAATATAAATGCACTTATATACTTACATCATTGTCATCGAGGAGAGAGTAAAGATCAATCTTGTCGAATCTGATTGATCCTTGAAATGGGTAAATCAGAGTTCCCGATGGAATAAACACATTCGACCATACCGAAATTCTTACATCCGTGACCAATGTAGCCGAGTCATTTTTGAAGAGATTTTTACAGGATGACTGATCGTTGGTGAGGACCAGAGAAAATTCTTTAGGTATTAAGACGCAAGTTTCCATAACAGAGACTCACGTGAAGAGTATATTTTTGGAATCCACCACAGCGTTACCTTCACTTTTATATAATTATTTTAAGTACATCCGTGCTTGCGTTAACAAATCGCTAAGAAAATATTTTTCAATGGAACAAAAACAAGACACATTTATGTTATGTTGTTTTTACGAAGCATTAGATTCTCTCAATGCATTATGTGTTGAACGAGAAGCCCATTGCTAATAAAAAAAGTCCCGGCACATTTAGAACTTTAAGATTGACATTTAGAACTTCAAGATTCGATTGTTCTCCAGTTAATCTCCAAGAGCCGTCGATTATTAATTGTACGTTAATACATCTGCGGCGTGTACTGAGCGCAAGATTACACGTAAACGTATACGAGAGTGCGAACAAGTGGAGAGATCGTTCGTCGTGCAAGGTGCAAGGCCCTCGGTCGACTGGACGGGATTAACCGACTGATCTTGACCTTGCGACGGGTTACCAGCATTTGCTACCGAATGGTTAGCCCTTCCCCCTCTTGAAACCACCTTTTCCCACTCATCGGCCCTCGTCGCGGCCTTTTTCATCGGCGTAGTCGAGAAATAGCCTTAGGGGTACTCGACTGGCTTCGACTGGGTTTCTTCATCAGATCACGTCTACCGTGATGCGCTCGAAACACTGTTAACAATATCTTCGACTGAATGAGATGCGAAAGATCTCAGTCCAGCTGCGAGAATAAAGCCGGCGCGTGTCTTCGGTATATTCAACGAGGTACTTGGGAGATACTTGATTGTTCTTCCTTGTAACTTTCTTTTCGTTTCATTGATTCGAAAGTAACAAATATATTTGTAAACATCTATGTGTATATAATGAAAGGATGAACAATTTATATCGATGGAAAATAGACCCTACGCCAGTGTAATCTTCACCCCACCACATGCACTTGGCATGAGTGCAACTTGGGTGTAGAGCGAGTGTCGGTCTGTTCAACCGGCTCAAGGAAGCCGGTCGGTCATCTTCCTCGTCCTCTTCGTCGTCCTCGTCGTCACCGTCATCATCGTCGTCGTCATCATCATCTTCTTTTGCTTCTGCTTCGCTTTTCCACCATCCGCGATGATGCTTCAAAGAAGCGAGCTCCACGTGGGCGCTTGCGCACCTGTCGCTCTCTGTTTTCTCTCTCAGTCCTTCTCGCGTTTTCTCGCATTGCATCTTTCCTTCTCTCTTCATCTTCTCAGGTCTCTTCTGTGTGTTCTTGTCCTTCCTACTGTTTCCAGCAAATAGCCGTCATCATATCTTTTTCTCTATTTTCGTTGCGCTTCCCTCGGGCCTGTCCTACCGATCTGCTGGCAACCTCACTCTTCTTCGATCGCTTCTCCTCTCTGCAAAGCGAATCCTTTTCGCCCTCGGGGCACAGAATGGACCCTCGTGCTCTGTTTCTTGAGGGAAGAGGGAGGGGTGGTGAAGGAAGTTTCTTTTTCTCTCATTCACCCTTCCTTCATCTCGTTTGATTCGCACTAGTGTCTGCCATGCGTTCGTCTCTTTCATGCATCCGTTTCAACCAGAACCGTGAACGACTCGAATATGTAAAGCTGTCAGAAAATTATCAATCAATATCATAAATTTAATAAATTTTTAACTTGTACAGAAAAATGTGTATAAAAGTACAAAAAGTGCATCTGTATTCATGTCAGATGTCCGATATATTTTATTTAAATATTTATGGTACTTTTGATAATATCATACTTAATTATTAGTATCTCTTTCCGTGATTAGATTTATTTTTTCAGATGTTTCATTGTCATCAAAAAATTTATTTTTCTTGCTCCAATCTATAATATGGCATATAACAATAATAAAATTGTTTAATAATGTGATTATTAAGTACAATATTTTTTTAAATAGATTTTTAACATAAATATTATTTAGACTTCTTCAATAACTTACGAAATTTATTAATTATTTTCTTAGATTTTGTTTGATTTGGTCTCGACATTCCGACGTGATTTATGTTTCCTAATTTTTTTGCTCGAGATTGTTGCTTATTGTATAACCCACGTAATTTTTTAGATTTAACAAAATTAGGCATTGTATTTTCTGTTTCTACAAGTATATCATCAGCAATATGTTTTGTTTTATCTGTTGCAGATTTTCCTGTGCGCATTTTTTTCTTTGCCATAGTTACATTAACTTTCAAACTTTCTCGAAATCTAATAATAGATCATGATACAATAGATATATGTCGTTATATTTTATATATATAAATATACAAAATATACACTTTGCTAATAAATAAATATAAACAAATTATAAATATATATACATATTATATAAATTTTGTACAAATATATATAATTATAATTATATATAATTTAACAATTAATATAATTACCTGATATAAAGAATAAAACCAACAATAATGCAACATATCGAGAATAGAATAATAGCTAACACTGAGTAAGCAACGAATTTCTCACTTGGCATCCATCCAAATATCGGTCGTGTTAATTTATCCTCCATTAAATGAGTACGCCAATTTGGAGGTCCGAGAACTTGTGTGTGTGTGTGTGTGTATGTATGTTTTATATTATAAAAATATGAATAACATATTCATATTATATAATGCAAAGTGTTCAATAATAGATGTATTTGAACAGAATGATATGATTAAACATGCTAAAATCATTTTTCTTTAATTAAAATTTAATTGGATGTCATCTTTTTTTACGCAATTTTTGAAATTTGAAACAAAATCGAAACAACAGTAATTAAAATATAAAGTTTTATTATTTATTTATATTTTCAAAGTACAATTTATGTTATAATTTATATTTATAATTTCTCCTTTTTTTAATTTATTAAGTCCTTCATATTTCTGTTGAAAACATTATTTAAATTTTTGTGATAAATAATATAATAATAACAAATATGTCAACAAACAAATATTATTGAACATTATACATTAAACATACAATTATATTATTATTTGTATTATATTTGATCAGAATATGTTTTGATATAAAACTATTATCACTATTATCTATTATCATAGATTTAAAGAAAATATTTGTTTATTACCTTTGACGCGGATCACATTTGTCGTCCACTTGAAATTTAGATCAATTTGTTCTACAATACATTTCCACATACCATGATGAGATCGATTTACAGCTGGAATATGATCGACATTTACAGCTACGGGCAATGTGACACTATAATCTTTCCATATTCTGTTATCAATCATCCAGTAAATCTTCAGATCGGAATATACATAGCCAAGGATAGCACAATGACACATTACATGCATAGGTAGAGTTTCACGAATTGTAACGCTTTCCTTAATTGGAATCACTGCCAAAGTTACGACTTTAAATATCATATATGTTCCATCTATTCGACGCACAGTAAGCGTATATACGCCTGAATCATTCAATATTGCTCTACTTATTACTAAAACAATTAATAAATTCATGTTTGTTAATATATAAAAAAAATTGTTACTTATTTTATAAGCATATTAATTAGTTAGTATTAACAAATATTGTATTACATACTGATTTCGTAATTTTTAATTTCTAGTCTATGCTGTTCGTTTTGAAGAAAAATTCCATTGTGAGACCATTGTATCTCTGAATCAGGTGATTCAACTCTGATGGAATTGATGATATTAGAATCCGAAGGAAGAGATACCGATTCGTATTCTTTCACAATAAGAGCAGTATGATTTTGCGTCATTCCTTTTTTTATTAAAGTCGTAGTATCTATAATTGAAATAAAAATTATTATAATAAATTTTTATATCAATTTGCGACCTTGGGGAAAAATAGAGGCAATATAATATATATTCTGCTTTACACTTGTCTGAGAATTACTTACAATTAGCATTGTAATAGAATAATTTGTTGGAAATATTTAGAAAAATACGTTTATGTGATAAAAACAAGATGTATCTTGTTAACTTATTAAAAAAATAAGAAAAAATATTAGATACATTAATTTTAGCATTAGTTATATATAAGTTTTACCATCGGTTACATCACCACAGGAAATCATATTGCAACGACCCGTCATGCTATTGGGCCCTATACAAGGCTCGCCTCTTACGTTAGGTTCCGGTGAATTGCAATATCGTTTTCTGGTTCCTATGCCACCATTGCAACTAGCACTACATACCCATGGTCCCCATTCCGACCATCCACCATCTAAAGGAGGACCATCTATATCTGCGTGCGATTAAAATGATTAAATACTATATGCACACGATACACAAAGTAAATTTTATAAATATACGATTCAAACATTTTTAAAATTTACAAATAATATTTCTTTAAAGTTGTTTATTATATACATTAATTATACACATGACGTTGACTGCAAAAAATCAAATTATTTTATTCTCTTTTTATGTTATTTATCTACAAATTAAATCTCAGTATTTCACATAATTATTAGGATAATAATAATAAATTTTGTCAGTAATACAATAATTATTATTTTTGTGTATTTTGTTTATAAAGCGAATATTTAAATGTAAAAAGTATATAAAAATTGTTTTTTTGTAATTTTATTTTTAAGACATTTTTTGTACAATCTTTTCTTATACTATTATTATTGTATAATTATACCTGACGGTATACAATTCGCGCTCCACGTAGCCCAACTTCCCAGATCTACGGCGAGCGAAAAAAAATAAAAGATGAGGGGTTGACGATGCACATAATGAAACACATTTGTTTCGTTACAGAATATTTGAATTGTACTATCAGACCATCTTCCGGAAAAAGTATAATAAAAAATCGTATATGAATTAAACTAAATAGATTCAGCGAAATATATACAAATATTTAATCGAATTACTTTATGGTAATATTCGTCCATGAATTCGTAGTAAATATAGGCTTCGGTGCTTTCTGTTTGTGATAAACTCTAACTTTAGGATATGTGTTTTTCAGAAAATATATCCACTGACCCCGTTCGCCGAGTGTGAGCGCATAAAATCTGTAAGATATAATTAGAGGTATGAATGAAAAGATATGCGAAATAATTGTTTCGATATATGATCATACCCTGGTGTTGCGGGCAACAGAAGTAGCGGTATCAAAACGACACCTTTGGCACGTATCATTAGCATCAATTTGTTAGGTCTAATCAACTCTTCTTTAGACCACGTTGATAATGGTAATATTCTAGTATAGCGATCAGTTTGCGTGTTCTCTATATGACATCCTACATGTTGTAAAAAGATCGCATCAATGATTTTGAAAGCAAGTATCATGAACACTGATTTTAGATCACAAAAACATACTTGAGGCACAATCGAAAGCAACACCTATCGTATGTCCTTTCTCGCTATTATAATAGTAATAGACAGGTGAAAAAATTTTGGCCGATTCAGGATGTTCCCATTCAAACAGTGGATTCACTGCTCCTTCGTAATAAACGAGGACACGTCCTCGAGGTATGCGTATAATAAAACTACTCCACTTACCAAGGTATAATAAATGCGGCAATGTTTTTTTCTTCACCAAAATTATATCTAATACATTGTTAAAAGATTAACAGAAGATTGAAAATAAAAGATAAAAGAATAAAGATAAATAGATTCTAATGTGATGTAAATTACTTTTGTCTTCCGATTGATAATAGAGAAGTACTTTTTCATTATTTAAAGCTCCGATCTTAAGAATATAACGGGAGTTAAACCCATCATCAGCAGTAAACACGAACGTTATGGAATCCGGTTGATCGGGCTCCCAAGCTTTTAATGAAAAATGTAAGCCTTCTGTACGATATTCTGGTAAAACATATAAACGACGCCCAATGCCATGTCCTTTTACAAAAAATGTACACTCCTCTATACAGTATTAACACAGTATTAATAGATCATTTTATGTATTAATATTAGTATTTTAAATATAAGTATTTTAAAAATAGAAAAAAGTATACTTCAAGCGAGTATACAATATGTTTTATAGTATAAAATATATAAAAGTAGAAAAATATTTGAAAATTTTGGGACTTGCTTTGAATAAAAAATATTATATTGGTTCTATAGTAAGTAATTATAAAAGATCACAAAAAGCTATCAATAAAAATAAATAATTTTATTTCAATAGATATTTTTTCCTTATTTTTTTAAACAATTACTTGACAATTAAGATTCTAAATTTATCATAATAAAACTTTGACTCTTATAATTATGTACAAAATATCTACATATATATAGATATTTATTTTTTATATTCCCAATAAATTATCAAAACTATTCGTATTTGTTGCAAAAAATTTTATAGATAGTCATTATATTTATCACACCTTATTAGAGGTGCATTTATCTACTGCTATAAACTAATTTCAATTTTTATCAATTTTAGGAAAATTTTTTTCGGAGATATCTGTAACGACTATTAATGAAAAAATAATATTTCTCCATTGCCGATTTAGATAATTTCATTTCTGTGCAACAGATTAAGTTTTACCTGGCTTCTCGCAATCTCTTATGTCACAAAGATCTTGTGGAATCAATGGATCCGTCGTGTAGCACCATGTGCCAGCAATATTGCGCGATGGATTTCTACAATAATTGCTGGCATTTCGAACATTTCGTTCCGGATAAAGACTATCATTTAAATATGCTCGGTCAACCATATGGATAGGTTTGACAGCAGTAATTCTTGAATGAGATAGATTCGGCGAAGAACTTAATAATGACTTGGTAAATGACGACTGTTCCATAGAAACATTTTGCTTTAGATAACGCTTCCAACGAGACTTTACGTGAATTGATCTCTGAGTCCTAGAAGGAACTCTCGTTGTCAATGATATGTTCAGTATTTGCATTTGCATTTGCATTTGCTCGAGATCGTAATCGCTCAACCATTTCGCGCAAGTTCGACCTGAACGAGTCTTTGATAATGTACCTATGTAATCATTAGCAGTCCCTGCCATTCGACATTCTACAAGAGAGAAGCACATAATTATTTAATTTACTTAAAATTTAATTGAATTATATATAATCAATAAACTATAATTAATAAATGGAAGAAGAAGGACGGTAAATAAACGTTTTCATATTTTTTTATTTCTAACTAAAAAACGATAAGAAAAAGTTTTGTGCATAGTTTGCTAAATAAGCAAACTTATTAATACTTAATAGTTAATTATGAATACCTGAAGATCTACAAATTCGCACATGACAAAATCGTTTTATAACATCCATAATATATGAGTTGGAAACTGCGTAGCAATAAGGTCCATTAGAATCATGACTTGGATTTCTACATCTATTTAAAGCTTTCACTATAGATTTATCGACAAAATTATCGGCTATTTTCTCATCGCGTGGCACCTAATAATAAACAAACAGTTTTTATGCAAAGAAGACATATAATCTTCTTTATTATTAGAAAATCACTTGGATGTAATAATATTAGACGAAAAGATAAATTTTATAGTAGCATAAGATATACACTCGATATTCCAAAAATTATTATTATTATTATTATTATTATCATTATTATTAAGTAAAAAAATTGTGATATAAGAATATCTTATAGCGTTGAAATATTCTATATTTAAAAGAAATATACATTATAAATAATAATGTGTGTTATAGAAAGAAAATATTAAACCTCTTCTGCTATCCATGGTATACATGGAAGTTCTTTTGCACTCGTCCATTGAGTTCCTTGATATTGATAATCTGCGATATTATGAATACAGTTTGGAGGCTGAGGATCTTCTATCGCGTCTACCGCTATTCGCGAGTTGTTTGTTATGGAATTAAAACAAACGAATTATATAAGTCCAAATAAAAATGTGCCACACAGAACAATTATGCAGCACAGCTGTTCGTGCTGTTTTTAAAGTACTTCTCGTAGTTTTGTATAATTATTTTTCGGGAAATTTACTAGCAAGATTAATTTGAAACCTTATTTAAGAATTTCTTAGCCAAATATTGGCAAGTAATTTTTAGATAAAGAATAATTAAACAAAACTACAAGAAATGTATTTCAAGTATTATATAGCATCTATATTATTTATATTATATTCTTCAAATTTTTCTAAGAAAAATCAAAATTTATGTATGTTTTATCTTATCATCATAAATTATATATCTAATATATATTTAATATATATTTTCCAAACATATACAATAAATAAACTTTGATCACGATATTAATTTACCATCGGGTGAACAAAAAAGTGTCCAATGTGCTATTGTTTGACTCCCAATACTGAACCAACGTAAGGTAATTAGTAGATCATGATTTATATTTAGAATCTCTTCACTTCCATATGTACGTTGCGAGAATAAATGCAAATGTGTGCCAAACATACTATAAATATATAATATATATAAAAAATGTCAAACGATCAAAATATTTTTTGTATAATTTTGTATAATTATACAAAATAATTTTGTATAATTTTTTTGCACATAAATGCATTACATAATATATTGACCTGATAGTAAATTCCTTCCAACTCCAATAATCTATCAATCCTTTCATTATTACTTCTTTCAAATGTTGCTTCATTGATTTCTCAGTCTCTTGATACAGCAATAATGTAACATTGTGTCCAATTTCTATCTGAATAATAATCTATCTTTGATCTATACTGACGTATTTTATATATAATTTCAGATCAAAATTGAATATATCAGACATATCTGAATATTTTTTCATCTTACTATGAAACAAGGAAACAGCGTTCCAGGACTTTGATATAACCGTATCTCTACATTATGGCTAGCTCGAAGATAAAACTGAACATCCTGTGTATCATTATTTTTCTGCATTGGCCAAATTCTCAAAAACTCATTTCCAAAAGTCGTGTGACTTTCACAATCTAAAAGCATAATAATTTAATAGAAACGCGTGTAACAAAATTTAATAGATTGATTCAGTCGAACAATATTTTTGATGTAAAATATTATTATAATTGTTCTCAATGTTATTCATAGAAACTTTCGAATGTATTGTTCCAATAATATATGTAGTAACCTATATGTACGGATATAAACTTATGGATGTTATATATTTATACATATTATATATTTATATTTATACATATTACATATATTATACATTTTTGACAAAATTCTGTGCTCCACAAGACACCAGTGCCCATGATACCATAATGCAAAAAATTGTCGGGATATAAACTCGAAATACTATTTGACATTTTATATTCGTCCATAATTAATGGTTTTGATACACCATGTATTCCAAGTGATATAAAACCACCGCCCCATGTAATCCATAAACCAGTCCACTTAGAACTAAGTAATATTTCAGGTGTATTTTCAAAAAGACGCTCATTCTAGGAAACCCATGTTAATCAGATTAATCAATATTATGTTAATTAATGTTTTAATTATTTGATTTTTTAATTTTAAATGGTTTGCACTAACATTAGTAACTGGATATGTCTGACCACTAACGGTATTTGAAATCAAAAGTTCCACTCCAGCTTTCCAATCTTGAGCAATTTTCTTGGCGGAAAACGGAATTGGGAGTAAACTTAATAAAATCCTGGCTTCCGCCTAAATGCATTCGATTAATTTCATAAAAATATTTCATTAAAATATGATTTATATTACCTATATTGAAAAAATGCATCTATACTTAATGATATACATTTTCTTCATCGAAAGGATTCCAAAGTTTAATCCAGAAGGATATGTTTCCATAAGTGCTGTTTAAGCTCGTTAAGATGGAATAAGTTGATGAATTTCGTGAATATGTTAAACAATCTAAGATAGAAATATTTTACAATAAATATCAATATCTATATACATATTTTGTATATATTGAAGGTTTTAGTGAAATAAGATTTTTCACAAAATATAATAATATTTAACTTGCATTTTAAAATTAAAATAATTTTTATTACCGTCATATTTTGCAACGATAATATTTTGTGAAAAAATCATTCCTACTTGCATAAATGCTGTTACACCTAAATTTTTAGAGAATCATTATCAATCATAAGATACTAGTAAAAACATTAATTTAAAAACATTGACTCAAAAACGTTAATTTAGAAAACACCAATTAAAAAAAATAAAATTGGAGAAAAGTTTTAGAAATTAATCTTCTTGTCACATTGCTTGAATATATAATATTAAAACTAAGTTTGAAGATGAGTATTGCAAATCATATTACATTCAAAAATATTAATTTATTATTTTCATTAGGCTATTTAACTATAAAAAATTTAACGAGCAAAGTGTTTAAGAAGAATGTAATATTTCAATTATGAATTTAATGATTTAATTCAAAATTTGCGATTGTTACTAATTTTTAATTAATCTTTTAATCGATAATTCGTAATCAATTTCTTCGATCAGTTAAATTGATAGTAATTATATTTAATAATTTACTTAATCACTTATTTTAAAACTAAAATTTTAATTTTTTATATTAGATAAACCTTTGTCATCGCAAGATGGAATATCACAATATTCTTTTTCTACCATCTCGTAACTTTTTTCTTCTACATAACACCAAGGACCACCTGTATCATCATTTGGATTCCTACAGAAATTATGTGCCTTCACTCTTGATCCATCCGGAAAGTGTTTATTATGAAATTTAATAGTCTAAAAAATAATTAACAAATAATAAAGAAATAGATCCTTATTACTGGCTAATACATATTTTTTTAATGCGACAAAAAAATTTATTTTTTTTCTTACTTTTGTGTTACCGAGTTTATATTTTTTATTCCAAGATTTACATTTCCTTTTGGAAGTACTAAAACTACGAGTTCCGCCATATTCAGCACCTGGTCCCGTTATAATACAATCTAATGATACAATTTTCTAAATTATATCAGCTGAATATATTTATTATAGCATCAAGTCACTTAAATCGTATATTTAATCGAATTTGTTTTGAAAAATTACAGTAATGAATTTTAATATGTAAAAATTATTGTTTTTTAAATTGCAAAAGAATTGAAACTTTTATGTAAAATATATAACAAATACATACATACATTATATATATATATATATAATTATATATAGTATAAAATTATTTATTCATTTATTAAAATTAAGTCTATTTTATTCTTAAATCAACTACCTTTGAAATTACAAAGCGGAATATCGCATTCATCATCAATAACCGTAGGTTCTAATGTATAACACCAAGGACCTCTTGAATCTCGAGTAGGATTTCTACAATAGTTTTTAACAAGTTTCATGGATTTTTCTGGGAAATTTGCATCAGTTATATTCGTACTAATCTAACAGTGAAAAAATTGAGAATATTAATAATCTAATATATATATATATATATATATATATATATATATATATTGTTATGTTTTAATTCTCTAACTTTGTTGTAAAAAAATTAAAAAGAATGCAAAAATACAAATATTTATATCAATGGACTAACTTTATGAACCGGTTGTTCAGCAGACCAAGATTGGCACCGAAAGCCACCAGCAGTAATCATAATAAAACCTTTATACTCGGTTCCCAATTGAGACAGTTTGCATTTGGATAAATCAATATTCGATATATTAAGCACTGAAAAAGAGAATCATCGGAAATAATAATTGCATAGCTTCGTAGATGGGGAACAAGCAATGTCAAGATTGGAAACAATAGGATGTATCCGGAAAAATATCAATAAATTATTGATATTCAAAATAAGAATGTTCAAAAAGATTAAAAAAAAATACATTATCGTACATACAAAAATTTATCCTTCTGCTTCCAATTCCTACATTGATTTTTCTCCTTCTACAGAATTTTACAAGATTATTACATGAATCTGCAACAATCGAATTTGAAATCTGTAGAAATATTATCATCGTAAAATACTGTTCGGCATGCATATCGAGCTTCAGAAAGCAATTGATAAGTAATGTTATTTATTTGAAGACAATATCTCCTTTAAAATATTTAATTATTATTTTCAGAAAAATTTTTTCCGTTCAGAAGTTTTGTTTCTAGATGCAGTCAACTGCGGTATCTTATATATCTGTTACCTTTTTATTTATCATTTTATAATTTATATATAATCTTTCAGTAAATTAAAACTGTAATAATAATCCATATATTGCACACAATAAATAAACGATAAATATCATTTCATGAAGTTATATATAGATTATGTGTTCGATCAGTTTCGATATACATCATTCATATACGTATACGTTCATTCATATGTGACGTCATATATGAATGGACGACGTATATGAATGATTTTTCTTACTGCTCATTACCATTACTGTCAGCCGTCAGTATTGGCAGTGAAATATAATGGTAATATTTTTTGTTTTTATTGAAAAAATTTGTTTTCAACTTATAGAATTTTAAATATACACTATATGAAAGTGCTTCCAACCCAAGAAAATAACTCGGCACTAAATGTACTATGTATCTTTGTTAGGTTATATGTCACCTAACGATGCTGTGATAAGCGTAGCGGTTATATCTTGCAATTATTTGGATTTTATTCAATCTGGAGCCGACCGAGATGGGCTTGCTTACAGATCCTAGAGCTGGAACAGGAAAACTCATAAAATTAATGTTAAAATGGGAGAAACCCTTGTGCTTCATATTATACGTAGGAGGAATTATATGGCTAATGCTTTTGGCGTTACCGGCATTTAACGATAGTAAGTTCTTGAAAAAGATAAAATGGATTTATGAGTGATATTTATTTAATGTTTAACTTTTAGATACCTATTTTTCCGAAAATGCATTGCTGCCTGGATTAGTTACGAAAGAAAGTAATCTGGAACAAACGTCGAAGCAATACTATCATGAATTAATTCACGAAATGAAGAGATATCCAGATAGTATGCCTTATGCATGGCTTTCTGCAAAATTCAGTCAGCTTCATTTGGATGTATTTGTACATAATTTCTCCTTGATTTATCCATTCCAAGAACAAAAGGTTTAGTAGATCGCAATCATGATTGTACATAAGATAATAAATATATGATAAAATCTCTTACTCAATACATATAAAATTTTATAGTTTGTAGGACAAAATATCTATGGTATTGTTAGAGCTCCACGGGCATCTAGTACTGAAGCTATTGTAGTCAGTGTTCCATATAGACCTATTAACAGTATTTATCTAGACACTACACCTTCGGTAGCACTGTTACTTGCATTTGCAAAATTTTGCAGAAGTAAACTTCTTTCTAATTATATTTCTGTTAAACCATTAATAAATAGACATATTAGAATGTATTTCTTTATTATTGTATATGTGATCATTTGTTTATAGAACAAAAATATTGGGCAAAGGATATAATATTTCTTGTGACAGAACATGAGCAATTGGGTATGCAGGCATGGCTAGATGCATATCATGGAGTTACTAGTGGCCAAGAGGGTATCTTGATAGCAGGAGACTTATCTGGAAGAGCTGGATCTATTCAAGCCGCTATCAATTTGGAATTTCATGCAATGAAAATTACATCAATTGATGTCAAGGTACAAAAATATTCAAATTGACTTAATTTCATACAGAGAATACTCATTATATAATATAAAATTATTATTTTTTTTGTTATTAGATAGAAGGACTGAATGGACAACTACCCAATTTAGATCTTTTTAATTTAGCACAAAATATGATAGCTAAGGAAGGAATTCGACAATCTTTCCAACGTCGATTTGATGTTAATTATAGAGATAAATTGAAAAGTTGGGAATATCATTTTAATACACTAATGAGTATGGTAGTAACACAAGCAACTGGGATTCCAACTGGTAATCATGGACTTTTCCACAGGTATAATTACTAAAATATAAAAACAAAATTATGATAACTGCATTTAGAAATCTCTCATTTGTAACATCATGCAAATAAAACAGAAGAAAGAATTAAAAAATAATTTTGTAAACAATCCTAAGAAATATATAGGAAAGAATAGCTTACTGTTTCAAATTTTTAAGCATGTTGTTAAGCATTTTTATGTTTTTATATTTATATTTTAAATAAGATTAGTTTTTGTGCTTAACTATAATTTGTCTGTAGATTTGGTATAGAAGCTATTACATTAGAAGGTTTTCAAAAATCTGGCAGAGAGACGGAAGCAAATTTTTATCAAGTAGGACGCGTAGTGGAAAGTATAGTGCGATCACTGAATAATTTACTAGAACGTTTTCATCAATCATATTTCTTCTATCTATTGCCTTCCACTGATCGGTATATTTCTATTGGTAAGAAAAATTTAAAAATTTTAAATATATCCTCTCTCTCTCTCTCTCTCTTTTTCTTTCTCTTAATATTTTTATGATTAAATTGTGAATGAACAAATAAAATTTATTTTGCAGGATTATACATGCGGCCTTTGGTGCTGATAATCGCTGGTGTATTTATAAAGGCATTTTCTATTTGGCAAAGACTGCAAACATCAAACAACGAGAAAAAGAACAAAGTACTTTTAAAATTTTTAAATATGATTAAATCTTTTTGTTTTTAGTTTATTAGTATCAAACAAATAATTATATATTCTTAGCATTTTCCCTTAATAGATTTAATATGTTAATATGTTTAATATATTTTCTGATTCTATTCCAATGATACATACACAAAGTAAAAATATTTTTAATTATGACAAAATATTTCTACACACATTAAATGAGTAATATAATATAAATATAAATATAGAAGTAATATAAATATAATATGAATATAAAATAGTGAAAAAATATAATGCGCAAGAGAAAGTGCTAAAGATACAGAGATGAATAAATATCTAAGTGTTTCCACTTTTTTTCCACAGATTGAAGAATTTGATATTGGAAGTGTTGCTTCTGAAGTGTTGTGGGCACACATATTTGGAGTATTAATAATGGCTTCTCCTCGATTTTTTGCTTTAATTGGATCACGAATGTTTCACCTACGTACAGAGGATTCATTATATGCCAGTTTCGCTCTTATTACGATTTTCACATTATTGCGACGCTTTTATTTGAGAAGGTAAAAGTAAGAAATGATTAACGAGGATAGCCGTACCTCGCTACGCTATAAATTCTATACTAACGCTATAATATAATTTCTAGATCGATCAAATACGAGAATATATCGCTTGTTTGCGTTATCGCATCGATCGAACTGGCCACTGCATTAATGTGCATAGCTATGCATAATTTTTCATTAGCATTATTAACGGCCATCGTATATGTACCAGTTATATTATTAATAACACCGCATCACAAATCTGCGTCCAGGTAAGCATCGATTCTTTTTATTTGATTTTACAGTACTTACTTTCATTTTATTAATTAAGCGATATTTTTTACTTTGTCAACAGATTACGAAGCTGCCAATACATCGCATGGATTATACTACATCCGTTCATCGCGTCGGCGATGGTTGTGATGGGTTATACGTATTTCAATTTTCCTACCGATTCTGTCGTATCTCTGCTTCTCAGAGGCTATCGCGCTAACAAGCAAGCGCTCGTATTCAGTATTGTAGACTCTATGATATATGGCAACTGGTTCTACAACGTTACTACCGCTGTTATGTTACCGATATGGTTGTTGTTTTGGAATGTTATGCGTTCCAGCGCCGAAGTACCCTCATAATAAAATGATTGCATAATTTACAATCGAATTTCCATCAATATTTTTCGAGTTAATTTTAGAGACAATTTATTTAATAATAAGATTTTATAATAAAAAACTATTAGCTTAACGTTTATCAATAAGAATCTGGGGAAGTTATTTCCACTTTTTCAGTAAAATGGAAAAATCACGCTTCGAAAAAAGATTTTTTTCATGAGATTATATATTTGTCAATGATACGTTAGTCAGTAGATATAGAATATCTTCCGATGATAACCCACATGTCACTCTTATTGTACGGATTTGACTATAGTTTAGAGCGTACAGCGACGCCGAACAGATGTGATTATTCTATTATCTGTCTACATGTTTCACGGAAACGAAGAGTGAGTGTAAACGGTGCGTATGATCTTTTACAAAATATTAAGTACTGTGTGATGTGCTAGCATGCATTCTTATATTTCTATTGTGCATTATTTAATCGAGGATTATTCTTAATAGAATATTGCATTTTTCTTTTCTATTTTGCTCGTGACGTCAAATGTTGCAATAAGTGCCATTAGACGCAATCGTGATCTCCGTGAACTTTTCATGTATATTTTATTTCAACTTCGTTCTATGAAACTAATAACATTTTTCTAACTCAAGTTTTCCTAATCTTGTTATTTAATAGTTTGCAGAAATTTGTATTGCTTGCAATATTACGATATAGACGTATATATATCTGTAACTGTCTTGTTTATATAAAAATTATATGCTGCATTCCTAAAATTATATTTTACATTTTGTGCATTCCGCCAATTGTATCTTAAAAATATACAAATATTTAATAGTATGAATATATTTTTTAGCTCAATTCTTTTTTAAAAGTTTAAAATATATTTACTTGTTTTTTTTAATTGTCCCAGCAAACATGATGTTTAAGAACGTCTTAATGACGTAATACTTTATCAAAACGTTATTAACATTTTTAAACATCTTTAGACGTTATCTTGTTTGCTGGGGTGCTGATAATTTTAAATGAAATGTTTTCATGAACAGTAAAATTTATTTAAAATTAATCGAAAAAATATATATAAGGATATTTTAATATTTTTAAACTATAGGATATATTTTTTATATGAAATTAATATATCGCTTAATTTTTATATGAAATTAATATATCGCTTAGATAAGATATATATTATTAAAATAACATTCTAACTATATTGTATGCTTTTATAAATCGTAATCACGGATAACAATAATCAGATCGAAGATAGTGTGATAAAATATTGTAATATATGTTTTATTGCAACGATCATTGTGCTTTGCATATATCTTATATTTTTATTTTAATGTATACATATTTTGAGATCAAAACACATAGTACAAAAATTTTAGAACAATGTATCGTTAAAACATGTAAATTCGGAAAAATTGTTATATTTTTATTTATGTAAATTTTTATTTATGTAAATTTTATTTATGTAAATTTTTATTTATATAAATATATATTAATGTAGTATACGTTCACGAAATATATCGTATCCTAGAGTCTTCAGCTAAAATTATACAACAAAATTTATATGTACATTATTTTATTTATATATAAAATAAGAGAAGTATAACAAAGAAAAGAGAAAAACATAAAAAAATGCGAATATACTGTTTTTTAAATAAACAATTCTTAAATTGAAATCTTAAGATTAAATAAGAAAATACTTGCATGAAGAAATTAAAAAAAGTTGTTATATATTAAAAATTCAAAATCTTACGTTCTATATTAATTAATATAAAAATCTTCAACATTTTTGCATTTTATTTATATTTTAATGCTATTTCAATAAAAATTGAAAATGAAGGAGAATTATTAAAACTTTTTAAATTTAAATAATATGATTTAAAAAAAGTAAAGCAAATCTGGAAGATTATTTTGTACTTATTTTTGAAAGAACATATTTTGTTATCATTGTTGCATCGCATCAGAACGAAATGAATAAACGTGTTGGTTATCATAAACGGAAATTATCAATTTAATCAGTTATAATCTGCTTGACTACGATGGAAATTGGTATAAGTGAGACAGAATCGAGCTGTAAAAACCCATCAAACGATTGTCGCGCTTGAGATAATTTTGATTTGATAATTTATGATTTGATATTTTGATTTATGAATATGATAATATGATAATGAATATGCAATATAATCTCACAAGATTAACAAAATTATTATTGGAGTAAAAACTAGAACATACGCAGATATTAGCAGACTTATATAATTATAATATAACTTATTATGTATAATACTTTATATTATAATTAATTTATATATTATTTCTCATATTTAATTGTCAGCGAATATATGATTATATTACATTGTGTTTACTTACAAATTAAGAAAAACAACGATTTTTATTACAGTCTTGACGCTTCAGTGTTGCATAATAATAGGATTACATAGTGATTACATTCTATGTTGAAATAAGACAAACTTATTGGATCATCCAAACATCTACTGATACTTGTTTCACAGAATAGTATATGTGATCATAGTGATACAAATATATTACAGTGAGTTATATGTTAAAAGAGAATACAGAAGTATATCAATTTGGAAATGGAAGAAAACTTAATTAAAGAAACATTTATATGCAATGGGAATGTAATTTCTAATGAATTTGATGAAGCTGATTTATCAAGTGATAATGAGTCAAAAGAAACTCTAGTATCAGATACTCTTGTGTTTTATGTAAACGGAAAGCAAGTATGTGACAACAAATTTAGTTTTATTGTCTATGCTGAAATATTAAATATGAAATATTATATTAAATATCTTTTTCTTTATAATGTGATCTAGATATCGGACAAAAATATAGATCCACAATGGACACTTTTATGGTATCTTCGCAACAAACGTATCCTTTTATATATATATAAATATATTCTCACATCAAGATAATATTGTTGATAATATGGATTAATTTATCCTTAATTACAATGACTTAGTCGGATTAACTGGCACAAAACTTGGCTGTGCAGAAGGAGGCTGTGGAGCTTGTACAGTTATGATTTCAAGATTTGATCGTGTTTCTGGCAGAATTATGTATCCTTGATATTATGTGCGATGTTTCACATAGTGATTTGAAGTATTAAACTCACACACATTACACACACACCCATTCTAATATATACTAATATATTCTAATAAATTTATTTCTTTAATATATCCTTTTATGTCAATCAAAAGTCACTTAGCTGTTAATGCATGTTTGACACCGATATGTGCTGTACATGGTCTAGCTGTAACTACTGTAGAAGGTATAGGTAGCGTAAGAACAAAGTTGCATCCAGTACAAGAGCGTATTGCCAAAGCACATGGATCACAATGTGGATTTTGCACACCTGGTATAGTTATGTCTATGTATGCCTTGTTACGCAGTATACCAAAACCAACTATGGAAAATCTAGAAATTGCATTTCAAGGTATTAGATTTAAAAAGTCTCTTTTTATCCTATAATTTTTTTACATAAATATTATTTTATATAGAAATAAATAATATAGAGAGATATATTAAGTGCATATTATATTAAGTAATATATTTTATTTCTAGGTAATCTGTGTAGATGTACAGGATATAGACCGATTATAGAGGGATTCAAGACTTTTACAGAAGAATGGGAACAATCACAATTAATGGCTAATGTACGAAAAGAAGAAATAAATGATACACGAGTTTGTTCAATGGGCGATGCTTGCTGTAAAAGAGCTTTCACTTCAGAACCCACTGAGATTTTTAATTCTAAAGAATTCTGCCCGTATGATCCTACTCAAGAACCAATATTTCCACCAAAATTAAAAGTAAGTTGTCATTAATCCTAAAAAGATCTTAATACAAATAATATGTCATGTATATATAATAATAAAAATTATATAAAATAAAAATAATATGACAATTGTTATTACATAGATTGAATCTAAATTAGATGAGCAATTTCTGATAGTGAAAGGCAAAAACGTTACTTGGTACCGACCAACAAATTTCAAGACACTGCTTGCCCTTAAAGAACAGTATCCAAATGCCAAAATTGTGATTGGCAACACAGAAATCGGTTAGTATATTTATTTCCTTTAAATTCATATTGCAATATCATATATTATGTATTATAGGAGTCGAGGTAAAATTTAAACATCTAGTCTATCCAGTACTTATACAACCAACACAGATAAAAGAGATGCATGAAATTATCAAAACGCAAGAAGCATTGAGAATAGGTGCAAGTGTGACTTTAGTTAAGCTTGAAGAAACATTAAAACATTATATTAAAACAGAACCTGGTAATATGATAGAGAATTATATTTATTATAATTATAGGAAATTATAATTATTATAAGTATAATTGTCAGTTATAAATAATTTTTATGATTACGTTAACTTAACAAATAAATATAACATGCAATACTTTTCCAATAGAACACAACACGAGGATCTTTACAGAAATAATAAATATGTTACATTGGTTTGCTGGAAAACAAATAAGAAATGTTGCCGTAAGTGCGAATATTTATTTAATGATTCTTTGTGTTAATATATTTATAACTTAAATATAATTTTTTTTCTGATAATTAGGCCGTAGGTGGCAACATAATGACAGGTAGTCCAATATCAGATTTAAATCCAATCTTTATGGCAGCAAATATTAAATTAAATTTATGTAGTTTAAAACATGGAAGTAGAACGATATCAATGGATCATACTTTCTTTGTTGGATATCGACGTAATGTCGTTTTACCCGAGGAAGTACTAGTCTCCATCGATATTCCCTTCACAAAAGAGGTAAGAATATTAATAAAAAATAAACAATTCTGCAAAATATATCAAAACTAGAAAGACTATTTTTTACCCTTAGATTTTATTCTTTATTTTTTATAGAATCAATATTTTATTGCTTATAAGCAAGCAAAAAGACGAGATGATGATATAGCCATAGTCAATATGGCTTTGAATGTACATTTTGCTCCTGATGAAAATATAATTCAGGAAGCGCATATCGCGTTTGGTGGAATGGCGCCTACAACTGTTTTAGCAAGAAAGACATGCCAGAAGATAATTGGAAAGTAAGTATCATCAAATGAATACGTTATGCTTTGTGTGTGTGTGTATATATATAAAAATTAATAATTTTAGAAAATGGGATAAATCAATTTTGGAGGAGGTTTACGATTCTTTGCTCGAAGAATTACCGTTAGCTGATGATGCACCGGGAGGAATGATTAAATATCGTCGATCTCTCACTCTCAGGTGCGTTATTAGATCATGTTAATATTTAAAATCAAAGTAAATCAGAACGAAACATAATATGATTAACATGTTATACATCTTACAGTTTATTTTTTAAAGGATTTGTGCACATCTCCAAGAAATTGTCGGAAAATATTTTGACTGTAGAGCACTTGCCAAGGGAAATAGAAAGCGCATCAGAGTGTTTCCATTACAAAGCGCCAAAAAGTTCACAATATTACCAAGTGGTAATATTTTAATTTAAGTACTTATACAAATTATTCTTAAAATAAAAATAAGAATTGTAATATTTTATAATTTTTTCTAATAGGTATCCAAAGATCAGGAATCACATGATCTAATAGGACGCCCTATTGTGCACGCTAGTGCATTCAAGCAAGCAACAGGAGAAGCGATATATTGCGATGATATGCCCAAATATACAGAGGAATTATACTTAACATTAGTTCTTTCCACTAGAGCGCATGCAAAAATTTTAAGAATAGATCCTACTAAGGCATTATCCATGGAAGGAGTCGTATCATTTTTTTCTTCAAAAGATATAGGGGAAGACATAAAATGGGGCCCTATATTTCACGATGAAGAGGTATTTGTATCAGAAAAGGTATGTTTCCTTAAAATAGATATAAATATATCTGTTTGTCAAAGCCATCAATCTTTTTTATTTTATGACTTGAGAATAACAAAAAAAAACTTTTATTTTGAAACTATTACTTTACAACATATTAATAGCTGAAAGACCAGTTTTTTGTTTAAAATTAGTCTTTCATTATATTTTAATTAATCTCATTTCTTTTTTGGTTCTTTAGGTTACGAGTCAAGGTCAAGTAATTGGTGCAATTGTTGCTATAGATCAAATTATTGCTCAGGCTGCGGCAAGAATGGTTGAAGTAGAATATGAAAATATAGAACCTATTATTATATCCATCGAGGTATCTTATAAAAAACAATAATGTTTGATGATATAATGCAATAATACATAAACGTACTAAACTTTTTTCTATAGGATGCTATCGCGCACGACTCATTCTTCTCTGGCTTTTCCAATTGCATCATTAAAGGCGATTCAGAAAAAGCTTTTAGAGAAGCAGATCATGTTATAGAAGGAGAAATACGCATAGGTGGCCAAGAACATTTTTATTTGGAAACGAACGTTGCTATTGCCGTACCTCGCGAAGAGAATGAATTGGAAGTGTTCTGTTCCACGCAACATCCCACTGAGATACAAAAATTAATCGCTCACGTCTTAAATATACACATCAACAGAGTTAATGTTCGCGTGAAGCGTTTAGGCGGCGGATTCGGAGGGAAAGAATCCCGTTCATCATTACTCGCGATACCAGTCGCATTTGCAGCACATAGGTATGTACTAAAACTATGTAAAAGGTATATACGGTTTTACATATGATTTATAAAGGTATTACATATGGTATATAAAGGTATATATAGTTTTACATATACATTGTTATATATAATACATACAATTATTTCTGAATATAAGGATACAACAAAAATATTGAGATGAAAATTATTTTATTTAATGATCTCTAAATTGAAATTTCCTATTATAGTTTTCTTTAAATTAGTTTTACATATTTTATATATAATAGAAATATATAGAAATATATAATAGAAATATACAATCGATTTATATATATATATATATATATATATATATATATATATATATGTATGTATATATATATATATATGTATATGTAAAAAAAAATGAAACAGATTGCAGAAACCAGTTCGTTGTATGCTAGACAGAGACGAAGATATGCTAATAAGTGGAACACGACACCCATTTTTATTTAAATATAAAGTTGGATTTAATGATGCCGGTCTCATTAAAGTGGTGAAATTGCATATATACAATAATGCAGGCTATTCTTACGATTTATCAGTAGCAGTAAGTAATAACATAATTAATTTGAAAGATTGATATTTATTCAAAATTTTACATATAATTACTTATGTGAAAACGAATCATTGTTTTGAATATTTTTAGGTATTACAACGTGCCATGTTCCACTTTGAAAATTCATATAGAATTCCGGTATCAGAAGTATATGGATATATATGTAAGACAAATTTACCATCAAATACAGCTTTCCGTGGTTTTGGTGGACCGCAAGGAATGTTTGTCGCTGAAACTATCATTCGACATATCGCCGAATATTTGGAACTGGATGTCGTTAAAGTAATTTTTAATATTAAACTAATACTTTACAGAAAAAGAAATACAGAAAAAAACTATATCTTAATCTTATAAAATTAATTATATAAAATTCGATATGTATACGTGAAGATTTAATTTATACATTATAAATAAGCGAAAGTAATAAGAAAAAATTATATTCTTTTGTTACAGTTATCCGAATTAAATTTATACAAAGAAGGTGATTTAACGCATTACAACCAACAACTTGTTAATTGTACCTTGGATCGTTGTTGGCGCGAATGTGTAGCATCTTCTCGTTATAATGAAAGAATAGTCGAGATCCAACGTTATAATAGGCGAGTATATAATGATTATCTTTCTTCAAAATTAGAGATTAAAGATTGCTAAAATTTATGATAAATTTTTAGGGAGAATCGATTTAAAAAGAAAGGTCTCGCGATTGTACCTACAAAGTTTGGTATATCATATACTCTTTTAACTTTAAATCAAGCGGGCGCATTGGTACACATTTATACCGATGGGTCAGTGTTAATATCTCATGGTGGGACTGAGATGGGACAAGGTCTACATATAAAAATGATTCAAGTAATATCTGTATTTTATATATATATATATATAAAACTTATAGCGTTTTCAAACTTGTCGAGTTCAATCGCTTCAAGGTAGGTTTACTAGACATTATTGACAAATTATAGCCATTCTTTTGAAAAATGTAACCATATATTCTTCTAAAGAATGACTGATTGATTAATAACATCTAGTAAACTACCTCAGAGCGATTGAATCCGACAAGTCGCTATTAGTTTTATCAAGGATACATTATTTTATCAATTGTTTATTGTGTGTGTACATACACACACACACACACACACACAATATATATATATATATATATATATATATATATATATATATATAATAAACGATGAAAATGTGTTCTTGATAAAACTAAGTTTAAAAATCACAAACAAATAAAAACTTTATTTTCCTATTATCCTATTAATTTTATTATTCAAATTTATATGAAAATTAAATAAGAAAAATAAGTGTATATAGACATATATATAAATTACAGATCCTAATTAAATATGCTTAATAATTGCAGTTAATTAGTATATATAGCGGTCGAAATTGAATTAAATTCTTTATATTAGGTTGCTAGCAGAGTACTAAAAGTAAATCCAGACAAGATACATATTATTGAAACAGCTACTGATAAAGTTCCCAATACATCTGCTACTGCGGCAAGCGCTGGATCCGATCTCAATGGCATGGCTATTATGGTAATAACAATAAATAATATTCTAGTGTATGGAAATGTAGACACTAATAAAATTAATTTGCAGAATGCTTGCGAGAAAATTATGAAACGATTACAACCGATAATAGATAGCGATCCAGAAAGTACTTGGGAAGATTGGATAAAGACGGCATATAGCCAAAGGATAAGTCTGTCTGCTTCCGGTTTTTATCGAACACCCAATATCGGGTATTCTTTCGATACTAATTCGGGAAATCCGTTTAATTACTTTACGTATGGCGTCGCCTGTACGGAAGTTGAAATTGACTGTCTCACTGGAGATCATGAGGTATAATTTTTTGCATTAAAATAAGACTGATTTTTTAAAAACATGCTCTTGTTATACTTATTTAGTTTGCAGAAGGAGGGATGAAATATTTAATGTCGTTCTATCGTCAAAGTTTTAAAATTCAAATCAGATTATTTGATTTTAATGTATGTCTCAATATTATTAACAGTTTTTTTTTAAATCAGTCTCATTATTTTTGTTCATATATAAAAACCTAATAAATAAATATTTAATTATAAAAATATAATTTTATAAAACGTCTAAATATATTACAGAAAATGATTTATTAATGAGTGTTAATATTCTGGATGTAATAAAAATTTCCTAAATTAACATAGATAATCTTTTTTAATTCATATAGGTTTTACGAACAGATATTGTTATGGATTTGGGAGAGAGTTTAAATCCAGCCATTGACATTGGACAAGTCGAAGGTGGTTTTATTCAAGGATATGGTTTATTCACGTTAGAAGAAATGATTTATTCACCAACGGGAACTTTATTCAGTAAAGGACCTGGTGCATACAAATTGCCGGGTTTCGCCAATATACCTCAGGAATTTAATGTTTCTCTGTTAAAAGGAGCTTCCAATCCAAGAGCAATATACTCTTCTAAGGTATCTTCTAAGAATTCTTTTTCAAGATGCATTTTATAAATTACAAAAAAGAGAATATAGAAAATTATAAAAATTAAATATATTATTAAAATATTTACACAGGCTGTTGGTGAACCACCATTATTTCTAGCATCATCTGCATTCTTTGCTATTAAAGAAGCAATTAAGGCTGCACGTAAAGATATGAATATTCATGGCTATTTTAGATTTGATGCTCCTGCAACTGCCGCAAATATACGTAATGCATGCATAGATAATTTGACAATGAAGGTGATAATGATATGTTAAATAGTTGTAAATTCAAACTTTACATATCTTTAATATACATTTTATTTGTTTTGTACAGATTATAGAGCCTGATTTAAAGCGACAATGGAATATGGTGCCATAATCTATGAAATTCTTAAGATATTGCCTTTATATTTTTTAAATTGTTTTTATAACAAAATTATGAAAATAACAATCTAATACTGTGGAATACATATGGACAATTTTTTATCAATTATTATTTTATCAAATAATTAGAGCTTTAATTGTGTGATATAAATAAGCTTTACATGTAATACTATATATAATAATGAAAATTGAGGAAAAAAATATTACTTTCTTATATATTCTTATTTAATAATCTTAAATTCTTAGTAATTTTTTTATAACATGCTCAACATATACATTAAACATTGCTTATACCAGATTTTTCGACTGTTTCTAATAATGTTTGTAGATTAGTTTCAAATAATTCACATCGAATAGGCATTTCCAATGCGTAAAATGGATTCTTTAATGCATAATCTGCATATAAGTCATATACTCTTTTCAATAAAATTTCCATACCTGGTTGTGACGGTTCTGCTACTATCATAAACTTAATGCCTGTTAATGTCTGGAAGCAATATAAACGAAATGTATCTGCCTCAAGAACTTCAATCCCTGAACTGCGTGGTTCAGGACTCAGTTGGCTTGCTATAGCAAAAAGCGGATAAAACATCGAAGCTAGAAATATCTTCTCATTTGTTGTCATTTTTGCTCGACTAAATTTCAATGTTATAGGAAAATTTTCTGACTGCTCTAACATTTCTAACGCATCTCGTCCATCTTCAAGTTCACGTCCTGCGACTGCAACTCCATTCACAGCAGTCAATACATGACCCACTAAAAATATATTTAATTTTTAATCCCATTACTGTATACTTTTTAAAGTATATATGCTGTATTACAAATACATATAGAGTGAAGAAAATACAATCCTATATTTTATGATGTTTTAGACATGTTTTAGAAATATTGGAAAATTTATATAAGCAAATGTGTCTTCATTTGCATGGCTCTGTTTTTCACAATTATTTTATATTTCGATTCTAATTTACAAAACATATTATTGCTCTTTCAAATAATTATTTGATATTTCTTTATTTAACAATTTATTAGTTTATTTTCAAAGATATTTAAAGAATTTGAAACTTGAATTTTTGTGAATACATATATAAATATATGCCAATCGATAGGTAAATAGGTACTACAAAATTTTAGAAGTATTTATTTTTTTCACTCTGTATAATTCTAAATATTATTAAAACGTGTATCTTTACCATTAATCCCATCTCTTTGTCCAAAAACTACCACCACTTTTTTATTTTCATAGTTTAATTTAATATCGAGTGGAAAATTGAAGGACTTTTCAACTTCAATTTTCGGAACATTATGATCGTGATTAAAAATCAAGCCACCAGATTTTGACACGATGTAAACACCGTATATCACCATTTTTGCGTGTACGTTTGAAGGTTAGATATATTCATCAAACTTATAATTATATCACGTTCAAATTGATTTAACTATAATTTTATCATACACGCATTGAATGATTCATATTTGTTAAAAAACTTTACTTTATCACGATCACTTTCTTTTAAATTTGCACTCACGCAAAAGTCTATAAATTTATACATTCAGAGATGCTAGCGCCGAATGTTGAATGCTTTGACCTCTGACGTAGTGACGTGCGCGTGGCGCGTGTTTTGTGTATCCCCTTCAGTGCCAACATATCCCCTCCTCACTCTCCTCATAAGCGTGCTATTCAACCTTGCGTTCCGTTCATGCGTAGAAAATCTATAGTTTATGTCACGTATATTATAGATTTTTTGCGCATAAAGCGGCCTTTTCATTGACGCTACTTTTTAGCATCAATGAAATTGCACCTTAACAGTTGGCAGCCCTACGAGATAGGCTGTGCAGCACTGCGCGTATATAAAATAAATTTGAAATCGCTTCTAGCCTAACCATCTTCACGCGATCGACTTTATTTGAATTGCACGGCATCGCATCGAATTATGATGCGGCGCCGATTTGTTCGAACGTAATTCGGGACATCGCGATGCTGTATAAGCGTCGAATGAGCACGAATTGTCACGCAAATATGATAAATCACATCTACTCACCGTTCACCGGCTGTTCCACAGGCCGCTCCACTCATTCGCCTCGAGACGTCCCATTCCGATCTTGATGCACACGATATCATCAACGCGAACGCGCGACACTTTATTCGGCACTCCCGATATTCGCTCGCATCCGATAATCATCATCAAGGGCGCAAATAACGCGACGCGACTTCGTTCCATCTTCGCAATCGCGCTATCACTGAACTGTGAAAAATAGCTGTCGCGCACTTCCACCGACATATTATGAAACTCGCGCGATCATCCTTGGACACTTTCGACGCTCTTTCACTCGCGATATTCGTTTAAAAACGGTTAAAAGATGCGAAAAATGCGGACGTACGACGATCCGTGTAACTGCGTATGACTCCGATTCACGTATGACGCGTATGACGTAGCTATGACGCGTATGACGTAGCAGTCACGCGCCAACATGGCGGCCGAACCAGTGCGCATTCGTTTCTGCACACTGGTTCGGCCGCCATGTTGGCGCGTGACTGCTACGTCATACGCGTCATACGTGAATCGGAGTCATACGCAGTTACACGGATCGTCGTACGTCCGCATTTTTCGCGTCTTTTAACCGTTTTTAAACGAATATCGCGAGTGAAAGAGCGTCGAAAGTGTCCAAGGATGATCGCGCGACTTTCATAATATGTCGGTGAAAGTGCGCGACAGCTATTTTTCACAGTTCAGTAATAGCGCGATGGCGAAGATGGAGCGAAGTTGCGTCGCGTTATTTGCGCCCTTGATGATGATTATCGGATGCGAGCGAATATCGGGAGTGCCGAATAAAGTGTCGCGCGTTCGCGTTGATGATATCGTGTGCATTAAGATCGGAATGGGACGTCCCGAGGCGAGCGAGTGGAGCGGCCTGTGGAACAGCCGGTGAACGGTGAGTAGATGTGATTTATCATATTTGCGTGACAATTCGTGCTCATTCGACGCTTATACAGCATCGCGATGTCCCGAATTACGTTCAAACAAATCGGCGCCGCATCATAATTCGATGCGATGCCGTGCAATTCAAATAAAGTCGATCGCGTGAAGATGGTTAGACTAGAAGCGATTTCAAATTTATTTTATATACGCGCAGTGCTGCACAGCCTATCTCGTAGGGCTGCCAACTGTTAAGGTACAATTTCATTGACGCTAAAAAGTAGCGTCAATGAAAAGGCCGCTTTACACACTGAAAAGGTGCGGCCTCATTGACGCTAAAAAGTAGCGTCAACCATTGGTTGAACAAAGAGGTAAGTATACTTACCTCTTTGTTCAACCAATGGTTGACGCTACTTTTTAGCGTCAATGAGGCCGCACCTAAAAAGTTGAAACTGAACTTTATTTTATTGACGCCATATCTAGAGAAAGTCTAGTGATTTTAATTTGCCGCTGGTTTCTAGCGTCAATGAAATTGCACCTTAAAACGAAACGCAGCCTATTCTTCAGCTGTTATCCGGTTTCCGGTTTCCGGCATCTTTAGTTAGCTAACACGTGAATAAATAACGTAATGCGTAGTGTGGTGTAAATTCTGACGTATATTATCGAGACTATTCAAATCTTTTACTGTTTCAATATGAGCTCGGAAGAAGATAACTTAAATTCTTTGCATAAAGTGTATACGAATGATCCACTCTTATTCATGACTTACGTCGGAAAGGAGGTTAAGATAATGACGAAAGATAAAAATGTTTACTATGGTATTGTTTATACACTTGATCCGGTATCAGAAAGGTTAGAAAAAAATTGCATTTATTATATTAAATATTATATTATATTAATATTTTTAATTATATTATTTTAATATTTTTAAAAATTGCATTTATTATATTGAATATTATATTATATTAATATTTAGTCAAATATAATTCTATAATAAATTATTATTAACTTTTAATATTAAAACTTAATAATGAAAACAAACTTAATAAGATTATTAGAGATATATATTTGTTTATTATTATGTATGGTGCACGTGCGTGTATGTTTTTTGTTCTTTGATCATAATCTATAATAATTTCACCATTCCTTATCCTTATTAAGTTTGAAATAATTAATTTTGACTAATTACAGATAATATTATTTTACAGCATTGTTCTTTTACATCCACAAACAGATACACAATATCATTTAAAAATAATATTCAACCATGCCATTAAAGATATCGAGGTAATATCAAAAACAGAAAGATTCATACCAGAATTATTCCTGCCTGCAAAACTTTCGCAGACGATGATTACTAAAAGAAAAAATATCGTTATGCAATTATTATTGAATAATCGATTTCCAGTTAAAGAGGAAAATGACGTTTTATTAATCGAGGATAGCGTATCGATAGAACCTCCATATTATCCTGAAAATTGTACATGTGCTAACAGTATTGTTCTCACTAGAATACAAAATATTTTAACACATGTAAATATTGAATAAACTTGCGCTTAACAAAATACAAAATTATGTTAAAGATTCCTTTGTCAAATCTTATAGAGAGTTTTATTATAGAATTATTAGTGATACTGTATAAATTAATTTAGAACAAATTATCAGAATATTGGAATGCTAATATTTTGTAAGTTAAAGTAAGCTAAAAGTGGTACATTTCACAAATTGATTTTTAAAGAAGCTAAATGAATAATAGAACTATATCCTCCAGTTAATTTCTGTGACGAATATCCTGTGTACTATATAAATTTAAAATTTAATAGTGCATTTATATGTATTGAAATGGAGTAAAGGAGTTTCAGTATATAGTTTTAGGTTGTTTGTATATAATAATATATTTTGCAGAAGCATTTGTATTGCTAATTACAAAAATAGCTTATCTATCATTAGGAATATATATGTTAAATCGCAATGTTGCAAAACTCACAGTGATTTAATAACTTTTATTTTCTAATCTTTTTCACTGAGGAAGGTATTAAACAAAAATTTCTCTTGGTTTCCTACATATCTTATGCTTCGCAAAGCAATATTTTAATTAAAATATGATATTAATAGATTTTAAGAATATGTTTTAAAGTAAATTCACAATTTTTATATCAATTGATTTGTATATACATATATATTTTTTATATTTATAAATGCAAAATAATGTAAAGATTGCAAAAAACTGTCTCACAAGAACAGATGATTATAATAAATAAATTGTCTTTTTTGTGGAAAAACAAGAATCATTTCACAAATGTGTGATAAAATTACAATTATAATATGTTATCATCATATCATATAACTATTTATAGGAATAAATATACATAATTATTCAATGTAAAATCAATTATAAGAATGAGAATTTTATATTACACCAGATTAAAAATACTTGATTAAACGTAGCATTTATAGACAACATAAAATTAGAATATCTCATATTAAATGTATAATTAGTAGACACATTGGTTTATGTCTTGTTGTAGTTGGAATTTATTGGATTGTCAAGAATCTCTTATTAGATTATGTGTAATACAAGATTTAAAATTAATGTGATTAACATAATATAATTTGTAGTAATAAACAGCCTCATTCAGCAACAAATATTGGATATACTTTATACACAAAATGTTAAACTATTCAATTGGAAATGTAAAAGTAGCATAACTGAAACACTTCTCAGAATAATTACAACATTTAAAGTCTCCAATCTTTTGTGTAATCTTTTATGTATATTGGATTTTCATATTTTCAGTTAGTTGTACTTTATACTGTATTTCAAAATTATTTTTAATTCTTAATTTAAACTAGCTATATAAATATATATATCGAAATTGTGGAAAAATTTCATGTGTAAATCATGAAGATATATTAGATTTATATGCATATTATACTCTATATTTGCAAATAGTGATGGAATGTTTTTAAAAAGCTTATAGTAATATTTCAAGTTATCAGAAGCTAATTAGTTGATAATATAAGTTCACAATAATAAAATCGAATCTATTAATTTTTTTCTAATATATATGTTGATATACATATGTGTATGAGCATAAGCACTAAATGTTACATATAAGATTTTTCACTCTAACAAGATTTTTTAAATAGCTTGTTTTATATATTTAATGATACTATGTCAAAATTCAGTTTTATTTTTAATTATAAAAAAAAAGACCTAAAGTAATTTTGCTTATTTAAATATAAAATGTTAAAATTTTTTTATTCAAGTTTAGGAATATTAATATATACACTTGTTTTTTTTATTTCATTTTTTATATCATTTGATATGATAATAAGCGCTTGGTATTTTCCTATAATTGAATAATTATTTAATTTAATTTTTTTTAAGCTTTAATTTTAAATTATTTAGAACATTTTATGATCTTGAATTTGTGTAAAATAGCAAAATGTAATTAGGCTATATATGATGATGAAAAAGAAACAAGCAAAAACTAAATATTTTATAGCAAATATTACCTTTGTTCGAATTTTTCTTGTTCTCAAACATCGCATCTTTTGATATTGTAAATCAAATAAGTAATTTGACAATTTTGATTTTACTTGAAGTGTGAATTACAACTAAAACTAAAGTATTTTTTCATTCTTATTTCAGATCACATAATTTCACACAAATCATTTGAATCTGTGTTTAAAATGCAATAAGACATAATAAATTTGACAAATTTTATATTGAACATTTATAAGATTTAAAAATTGTGTTTTGCTTTCTCTTCTCTTTATAAATTTTTTTCAGTTTACAATCATATATAATGATTGTATTTTTTACGCAGATTCTCACATGTTATATTCTAATATCATTTGATTTATCAGTCATCATTATGTTTTTTCATAAATATTAAGAGATCATAATGGTGGCAGTATATTTAATGTAATAAAAATGAAGTTTCAAACACTGAATTGAAAGCGACTCAATGAAGTAATTTGAGATATTTTTATTGTTCTATTGTTTATCATCAATGTTACGTATTATCTCTCATTTAAAGTTTGTACATAAAAAATTGTTATAAAAAAAAATGTCAAGTACCAAAATTTTAAAAAGCTATTTTAGAGACAAACATTAGACATTCACTTAGTAATAGGAATAGTATTGATATGTGACATTTACTTAAATATAAGACTGAAAAATCTATCGATTTTAACGAATATTGAATTTTATAACAATAATCAGTTTTTTAGAGATTAATGTTTTAGATACTTCCAATTGATCAATTTTACATTAACAATTCAAAGAAATTTGACTTCACCGGAGATGCTATACATCAATTATAAATATCCATCCAAATGTAAAGATGCAATTATGAAACTGAATATTAAATTACATGGAATGTAATAATATGCGAAAATGCTTTTTGTACAAAAGCATTTTTTTTTTAAATAATTGAAAACAAACACATTCTAAATAGTTATTTAACGATATAAAAATATGTATAATCATGGTTAATTGTAATAAGAATATACACAAAGCGCATGGACCTATTCATTACATATTCAGACTTGTAGATGATTCATAGACGTAGTATATAACATAAACTCCGCATATGGCTAGAAAAGTGTAGCCAACATATAGAAAGAGACAGATGATCTAATCCCTCTGTTCTTTGTCTCTCTCTATGTAGATGAATTGCAAAAAAATAAAAAGAAAGAGAGAGAGGAAAGAGCTCCTCTATTTTTGTTTATTTTCTAGATGTTGGCTTCACTCAATTAGACGGCAAAACAAAGTACATGCAGAGTCTATGTATACTATGTCCATGTTCCTGTCTATTGACTTTTCCATATAACACAATATAAGTGAGAAATACGAATAAACGAATGTTAACTTAAGCGACGTAAATAAGTGACTTTACAGTGACGTAAGATACAATATTTGCATACAGAGTTGGCCAAAAAGGAAATTCAATGTACGAGTCCTACTACTCCCGATATTTATGTTAACCTTTGTATTTTAATGCGATCTTATGTTAAAATTGAATATTTTTTCAACTTTCTATGAATAACTTCTGTGAATATTGTGAGAATTTGCACATAATAAAGTTAACAATATGTACAATATACTTTGTTAACATAGGCATTTGATGATATCGTTTGTTTGCTCGCCCAACACATATCAATTATCATTGTGCTATAAGTGTATGAACCACTATAAATATTAATATACATTCGCATCATTATAAGCACGAGCATTTCTTGTAATAATTATAAGTCTTCTTATTTAATTGAATTATGAACGAATGCATTATATCTACATTTATTTTGTGGCATTTTAAAGCTCTTGGTTATTTCAGTTTAATCTCCACAGAAATAAATTGCTTAACGATTTATTACTTTATGAGGTAGATCATTCCGTTTCGTTGTCGGAATAATATTCTATTTTCGTCGCAATACGAGGTTTTTTCGAATATCTTAATCCTAATTTATCCGCGATCTTTTCAATATGTAACAGTACCTGAAATATACAATAGCTTAAATTAGAATAACAAACTTCTTGACTTAGTAATGTTACACTTACATAATCAAGTTGTTCCTTTGTATGCGCAGCAGAGAGACAAAATCTAATTCTGCCTTGCATTAATGATGTTGCCGGGAAACCAACACCGACGGTTGCAATGTTATACGTCGTTAGAGTACGGATCACTGCACTGTGTTGAGAATATCATAAAAATATATTTTTTTTTAATTAAATTTGTATTGCATTATTGTATTATTTTTTATTATATCTTTAAATATACTGTCATGTAGATTTTAGAAGTGACGAAGTAAATATTGAAAATAACATTCTCATCTACTTACGCAATTTTAGAATATAAATAAACTAGCATAGGCACAACGGGCGAATCCTCATTTCCATAAGTTATAACTCCGATTTGATTTAATCTGCGTCTAAAATATCTTGTATTCCTAGCTAATTGTTTGATACGTCTTTCACCGGCATCAGTACCATCTTCTCCCATAATGATTCGCATTGACGTAATAATTTGTTGCGTAACGGGCGGAGACATCGATGCCATGTACGTATGCGCGTGACTATGTATCCTTACATGATTTATTAATGCCTGAAACAAAACACTTGATTAAAAAACCGCTAAGGTCAAACGTTAATAATGGAATATAAATCATTAAAGATATTACTTTCGTCCCAGCTATATATCCACCCGCCGAGGCAAAGCTTTTCGTGAACGTTCCCATGAGTATATCGATTTCGCGTGGATCGACACCGTAATAATCGCAAACTCCTCTTCCATTCTTTCCTATAGCACCTGTACTATGCGCTTCATCCACGTAAATATAGGCCTATTTGATAATGAGAAAGATTTATTAATCGTAACATGGTTAAAAAAAAGGAATAGCAGTTAAAATAGTCGACATTATTCTTACGAACTTTGTATTTCTTTTTTAATTCTAATATTTCGGGCAGATGAACAATTGAGCCTTCCATAGAGAAAACGCCTTCGACAACGATAATTATCTTTTTCCAAGGTTCGCTAGTTACCGGTTGTCCGAAAACAATGGCCTTTTTCAAACATTCTTCCAAGTGTTTCACATCTGTGATAAACCATGATTTCTTTATACTTCTAAGAATAATAAAAAATAGTTATGAGTATTGTAAATGTGACTATTGTGTTTACTGTTATGTTTGAAGATCTGTATCATTGCACCAGATAGCCGAAGCCCAAGTATAAGTGAAGCGTGATTTTTTTCATCACTAAGAACTAGACAACCCTTGCTGACTAAAGAGGGTAGGTTTAAAGAATTCGTTGCGAATCCCATCCCAAATACTATGGCATCTTCGACTCCCAAAAATTTCGCAGTTAATTTTTCTAATTCATCATGTATTGGCATAGTCCCTTAAAACAATAAAAAATGATACTTTTACTCGATTTCTCTTTTAAATGCATACATACATAAAATTGTTTCATTTTAAGAAATATAATATGGAGCTCTGTTAATAAATCAGTCATCAAATTATAAAAAAATATAATACATTTATAAATGATCAAATTTTAATAATTATAATTCGATACAAAATTGTTCCCGCTTTCTAATTAAACATTAACTATAATTTATTATAAACGATGTATATTTATTTAATAAGCGCTTATTATTTTATCATTTTATGTATTTGTCACACACAATAATAAAATAGTGAATGCTCTTATTACATGGATATCAATTTAATTTTTTATGTCAAAGAAGACAAAGAAGAAATAAACTGTCTTCTAAATACAACAATTTTTATTTTATGCTTTCTCATGATAATATGATTAATTACTATTTAGTCAAACGATATTTTTGATCATTGCAAATATTTTATTCGTCTTTTCACCTAGAAAAAAACGTTATATATTAAAAAATCTCGAATTATTTACCTAATTCAACACGTGTACTGCCAGTGGCACAGCCAAACTTCTTGAGCGTTTCTAAGCTTTCCTCAGCACATTTACCACTCGCCTCGGCAAACCCTAAATAATTGTAAGAGCCCAAGTTTATACATTGCGTTTCAGTTCCGGTAAATCTGTCAGAATTAAAAAATTCAAGATTTCAATTCTATTGATATATGATATCATTTTTGTACGTAGTGAAACTTACTGAAACGTCCATCCGTAATCATTAGTGACTCGATCTTTTAATGTTACGATTGCACCGGGCACAGAACATATCGGTCTATCCCAACAATCTTTGACTCTTCTGTAGACGTATCTAAGATAAAATTTCTCAAAATTGTCATAAAGCGGCGCATATCCCTAAAAATATACATTTATTATAGGATAGTATGTTAATATTAAATAATATATCATAAACGTTCTGTAGAAATTTTGTAGAAATAATATATACATATATTTACATATCATTATGAAATTCCTATTAATAATACATAATAGTTTCATTTATTTATATGATATTTATAAGAGAATATTTTAATATATTGATGTCAAAGAAAGTAGGTATTTAAAAAAAATGTTTTTATTATAAATTTATATTTATTTATTGCATTCTATATATACTATCTTTATAAATTATATTATAAGAAAATATAAGTAATTATCATTGTACCTGCCTATTTTTTTCAGTAGCAACCTTCGGAATAAAGAATAATTGATTGATAAATCCCAGGAACATGAGAATATAGAAACCGAGATATGTAAGTGCTGCTGTAATGAATGGGACTTTTTCGAAAGACTCTTTTGATGGTGATTTTTCTAATTTCATTTTTTTAGGAGTAGAGCAGAACTGTAATAAAAATTCGTACATTCAATATTTATATAGCCGAGGAAAATATATATACATGTATATTAAAAGTTTAAAACATTAAAAGCGATACGATATAATAATAAAAATTACCCATCAAAAAAATACTTTAAAATTTTATTATTCTTTGCATATCTTTGCGTCAGGAGGAAATATGAAAAATACTAAATGTTATAAGGAAATATGAAATACACGGATATATATATATATATACTTCATGATAAGTTTCGAAGAAAATAAGTAAAAGAATATTAAATGTCAACAATAAGATTCAATACTCGGGATTATGATATGTTAATCTTTGCTTTATCAAAGAGAGTTATGTCGCTGCAATACGATTAAAACACGGTTCGCAGTATAAGGTTGCGATCGTATTTCATTGTTATTTGGAACGCATACTTTTACTCAGACAATTAACCTTGCGATGTATTATTAAAAAAGTGTTAACCTTTAATCTCTGCAAAACAATTCGAGTCTCTTAAAACTGCAAAATTTATAAAAGAGAAACGACAAAATTTTCGACATTTGATTTTACAAAAATAGAAAAAGAGATATGAGGGATTAAATAAATAAATACAATTATTGCATGTCCTCTTGTCTATAAATTTTTTAATCTAGTTGGAAATTATTAATCTTTAATTAAAATTCCTCGAAACACTTATAAAATCTTTAAATAATTAATACAATAGATAAAGAAGCTAATAAACTAAGCACATTCTATATTTTGATAAAATTTTATCATTTAATTATACAATATGAAAAATTAGCTGATTTAGTTGAATTAGCTAAATGATTTATGAAATCTTATTTTTGTTAATGAAAAATAATCTTTTAAAAGTCAATCTTTAGAAAATCAATATTTAAAAAGAAAATATGAATTTCTCTCTCTTTGGAGCATTTTATATATAGATTATATTTTAGATTGCTTGAAAAATAGACAAAATAATTTAGCATTCTTTTTACTGTGGTCAATTTTCGAAAAAATATAAAGAATCATGCTGCGGTGGCATAACATAGTTTCACATTTTGTGCTGATTACTGAAAATTGTCAGATTTACTCGACTGTTCGACCACGAAGGATCGTAACACATGCTTTAAATGGTGCTCAAACGATAACCAGTTTTTCTACATGCAATGTCTTAGAAATGTTTATTTCTTCCCTCACTCATATCATGTTTATCATTACTTATCGCTTTGATCGCAATGACATCTATCAAGAGTGTGAAAATAAATTATATATTTGTAAATTCTGCAAAATTTATTCGAACAATTTCTAAAAAAGAAAAAAATGTTCATGATATTTTCACGTCTGAATTGATAACATAGCAATATACTATGTATACGCTATCTTATTTTATCAGTTATTGGAACGCGAAGTATAAGACATTAAATTTAAGAGCCGTCATATCGTAATCTCTGTTGATGTTGATTATAGAATTGATAGCGATTTCCGCGTGACCTAAGTATTTATGTGCTTCAGAGTTCGCACATAAGGACATGTAATCTCGAGGTCGTATCTTAAAGAGTATTACCATCTAAAGAGGCGGTAAGTGTGCCATTTACATTATTTAATAAAATTTTTTTAACGAAAAGAGAAACAATGCTTCGATTACTACTTTGCAGCAAATCGATACTATAAATATCCTGTATAGCTCCGCGCGAATACATTGATTATATATATTGTGTTATTTTCTTTAGTTAGTTGTAAATTTTATTAATAAAAACTCATATACTCAGTTTATATACATGTTGCTATAAATTAAAATAAATTAAAAATTTTCCCTCCATATATAATTATATTTTTTTAATATCTATATTTCCAGAAAGAAAGTAATTGATATATTAAATCGGATAATATCAAGAAATTAAATATTTCAAATTTATGAGAATTGTTGTTCCAATGATAGTACATGTGTCCTGTTAGTAAACAAAAGATAATGGTAGAGTGTAAAATTAAAAATAGAATAAAAAAATATAACTGAAATTCATCCTATACAAGTTTTTATTTTACATTATCTTTATACTATTATTTTATATCTTATATTACTAATATTTTTATTACTATTACATTACTACTATTTTATCTAGTTTTGTTCATCCTTTACTCAAGATAAAATATAATGTCTCTCTAAAAAAAATAAAATTTTTATTTTTTTTAATACGATAATTTTTCCATGAATTTTTGTCGTAATCTTAAAAGTAACACGTAAAATGTTACTCGTACATTTCAATTTATTATTGTTTAAATTTGATATTTGTTGAAATATTGTATTTAATTGAAGTTTTATATTTAAACGCTGTTTAATTAATCTTTAGTTTCTTGGAATAAATATATTATAAAATATATATTATATATATATTATATATATATTATATATTATAATATATATTATAAAAATATATATTATAAAAAATTATAAAAAATAATACAGTATGTTTTTAAAAATAATACTGTATGTTTTTAAAACATGTTCTGAAAAACTCTGAAAAAAATTGCAAATTTCAACATATGAAAAACTTACAAGTCACTATTATTTAATTCATTATAATTGGCATTCATTTAATCATTAGAATTATCATTCATTTAATCATTATAATTATTGCTTAATCATTAATCATTATAATCATTATAATTATTGCTTTGAACGTAAATTTACTAGATAAATCTTTTTTGCAAACGAAGATCTTGAACTCCTTTCTGAATAAAAAAAATATATGACACGGATAATAGATTATTTTAATTGATAGAAATAATGATTAAATTAATTTGACAAGTTTTTTGCTAATTCACTGATCAAATTCAATTTTCGGTATACTTACTGTACATAATTTCGGAAAGGTACACGGCGTGACGTTTTTATAACATTTTATATACATCATCTTCGTAAAAATTCTATTTTATATGAGAGATTTATATCATTACGTGTATTACAAAAATTATTGATAATAATAACGGTATTACCATGTGACTCGCGAATGCCCGAGGAAGGGACGATGCGATGCGACTGGACGCTGAGAATCGTACGAGAAGAGAAACAAGATTACATACATCCGATATATAGATCGGATCAGGTGAGACGAGGTCAAATCGGATAGCCAATACGAGGGGCGGCTTTCCGGAGCGCCGGTTACTTACGTGTACGTGGCCGTTACTCGTCGAGGTGTAACCGTTGATCCTGCCGGCCTCCTCGGCGCCGCGAAACGTTAAACCGTTTCGCAGCGACGACGACGTCTCCTTCTCGCACGTGTTGGCGGCGCGCAACCTCGTGGTCGTCGTCGTCGCCATCGCCGATCCCAACTTGATCCGCGCTCTGACGTTAGCCGAATCCACCGAGGACGACGATGATCCCACGCTCGACTCGAGGCGAGAGCCACCGGACAACGAGACGGGCGGCGGACGTCGCGATGCGTCGCGGTACTCGTCGCCACCACTCATCGCTCGCTACTCACACCACCGTTCCACGTCCGGTCGTAGTAATCACGAACAATACGAATGTATCGTGGCGTCGATCGGCGCCTGCGCGCGCCGCACCACCGATAAAAGATTTTTCCTATGCCGTTGCCGCGTCGCCTTGCGTCGTTTTGCGACGCCCTGCGACGATGCGACGAGCCTTTTATACGCGGAGATCTCGTGCGCGTTGCGCCGCACCACGTCCAGTTTCCGTCTCACTCCTTCTCTTTCTTCTCGCCTCTCCCGCTCCTGCTACGGCAAAGTCTTTGGTGAAAACAGGTCACGTTTAATCCTACTAAATTGCGCTACTTACTATACTTTTGCGTTTCTCTTCTACTTATGATAATATATGTGTGTACGTTAATTCTATTCTCTCTATTTCGTCTCTGTTGAAAATCTTGAAATGTGAAGAAACGAAAAGAATAAAAGTTTGACGAGAAAGAGAGATTTGTAAACTGAATTTCAAGCAGTTGGATAAATGATAGAATAGAATTAATCTTTAGCTAATTTCAAATCAAGTTTTTTATAGTTTTGCTTTGAGGTTATATGTTATTATATTATATTTCTTTGGGCCATTTTGCATTTAAGGTAGTTTTTTCGATATTTTTCTTGAGTAAAGGTCGATTCTAAATTGACCAATCAGTCAAAATCAGTCGGTAAAAAAATACGATGGTAAAGAAATATTCACGTACGTATTGGAGGGGAAAAAGAAGGACAAAGTTACATACGAGATATGTAGAAAGTGTACAAAGAGATGCATGAAGAGTTTCACTATATAATCTCTCGTATAACGTCATATAAGGATAATAGGTAAAATATTTAAAATATGATAAAAACTTAATGATAAAAAACTCAAAAATCTACACTCTGTTCCTGTCAGTTGCACCCTCTGTGCGCCACATTACACATACTTTTCGTACTTGAAATAAAATTGCAAGTACGAAAAGCGCAGTGTTGAAAGAATACAGTTTTAACGCACTCGTTTGAGGCGGACCTTTTACGCGCGTGTTCCTCGCTTAAAGTAAAATAGACGTGGAAGGAAAAAGGAAATTAACAGAGCGTAGAAAGTGCGGTTAAAAAAAACGAACTAAATCTACTTGTGTAAAATTCGCCTATAAAATGATCAAGGTTATAAATCGAAGTTTCCTCGACTTAATTAGGCTCTCATTTCGATGGATTTGAATTCCATTTTCTGCTTGAAAAATCGAAAATCGCGAGGCGGAAACATAAGCCATTGATATTGCACCGATCAGCTGACCGGCCGGCCGGCCGGCTGACACGACCGGTAACACGGTCGGTGACGGTCGTAGCTTACTTCGGTATCTCGGACGAGTGGGGGCGATAGCGACTACGCGATTGGTCCGTGTCGGTCGGTGCGACGGGAGAGGGCGACAGACCCTTCGCGATGGGGAGTGCGCTTCGCTGATTTCACCCGTCGTCGCGATCGCGATTCTGCCGAATACTATAAACTCGGCTTTACTCAGCCTTACTGGTTCGCGCTTCGAAGCCAACACCCGAGTGTGACGCGGGTGAATTTTCTCTCCGTCGAGTCGTCTCGTCCTTGGCGCTCGTTAACCGGGCGACGACGCGCGCGAGAAGTCGCCCGTATCCGAGTTCGGAGTCATCCTCATCTCTCGCGAGTCGACGAAAGGAGGCCATAGGAAGCGAGGGACGCGACGCGGCGCGGTGGTGAGCGGTCAGGACAGCAAGGACGTCGGATGTGCCCCACTGAAGTGCCGCGAAGGCGAGCAACGACAGCGGCAGCAGGTGGGAGTAGCAGCCGCTCCTCGTACCTGGCTTTTATGAGTGCGTAGGGAGGCGTCGCGCAACATTCCGCGCACAAGCAACGTTGTGTGCCGGGGGATTGTAAAGCTTTAATCAGCCAACTCATTCGCTCGGTGAGTCATCGTCGGTTGCCAAACGCGGATCGAATCGCCATCGTTCTGGAGCCGAGGATGGACCCGGAACGGATCCAGTACCCACCCAACGACGAGCCGCTCAAGAGGGACCACGATTCCGTCGACGACTTCGAGCATCTCGGCCACGACGGTTCCCCGGATGACGGTTCCCGTTCGGAGCAGTATCAGCAGCAGCCGTTGCGACTGATTGACGCGCCACGTGTCGATGATCTGCTGCACATCGGCGACTCCTTCCAGGCATCGGACTCCGTGCTACCGAGCGCGCTCGTCGACGTCGAAACAAAGCCCGTGCCCGCGACGCCGCCGCCTTCCGCGGACTTTGACAAGTGCGAGGCCATGGCGCAGTCGTCGGATCCGTTCCAGCGGCCGCTGGACCCGGTCGATCCCAAACTGGCTAGCATGGCGTTCGTCGAGACCGAACGGACCTACGCACCCGCGCATCAATTTCGCGACGACGACGGCGACGAGGTCGAGAACGAGAAACTAGACCTCCAGGTACCGTTGTTACCAATCTCGACGGCAACAGCTGACAGCGACGTTCCGTCAGCGACGAAAGGCGATAGCAAGGTCCAACCCCTCGAGGAACGCGAAGATATCGCGAATCTGGGGACCGATCAGGATAAAGTCATTGCGAGCGGTACCGATCAAGCCGACGAGGATCTAGTGCATCGAGACGTAAAATCGTCGGTGCTGCCAATGGCGGAGAAATCACCGGTGGTGGACTTTCTCGGGGATGACGACGCGCCACCGAAGGAGGATAAAACCAGGAATATTATGGACGACGATTCGTGGAACGTAGTGGAGAAGATGGATGTAAAGCGGGAACAAGGGGGAAAGGAGCCCGAACCGCCGACGAAGCCGCTACCGCCCTTGCCTAAGGAGGCGGATCTCTTGGAGGATAACGCGCGCCAGGACAAGTACGAGATGTCGAACGACTTCCTGATCGCGGAGGCTGCCAAGCCGTCACCGCCGCAGCCACCGCAGCGAAGCAACAATTCGGAGCACGAGAGTGTTAAACGGCGCGAAGTGCCGAAACCTAAGGAAACCGATTACGTCTATCCTCGTCCGGTTGGCAAAGAGAAGCAGGAGATCGAAATAGCACCGAAGGAGATATTCAGAGACATGGGATTAGGTGAGTGCGATAAAATCTTTCTTTGTATTCTATTTCAAGGATAACTTCTCGCGAGCTTGTGGATATAAGACTGACAATGAGATAATCGCTGACTGAACATCAGTTCGTTTTATTTACATTGTTTCGTCACTTTCCCAAATTAAATTTAGAGGTATATATTTTACTTGGTGCATTTAACCAAGATATAGATTCTCATTTTGGAGAATCCTATAAAACCCTGAAGAGACGTAGACGAGAATCGGGGCGAAGTCGCTGAATCGGGAATCGAACCCGAGTCTTTCGCTTGCCTTGCTCTTACCATTAAGCTATTCAGCCCCACACCGATATCACTTTCGTCTATTTGTTTATAACTATGGAAAATGAAACGCGATCTTTTCAGCTACGTGTGAATTAAACTAAAACGTGTGGGGCTGAATAGCTCAATGGTAAGAGCAGTCACCCGGCAAGCGAAAGACTCGGATTTGATTCCCGATTCAGCGATTTCGCCCCGATATTTTTCTCGTCTACGTCTCTTCAGGGAGGTAAAGAGGGTTTTATAGAATTTCTCAAAAATGAGAATCTATATCTTGGTTAAATGCACCAAGTAAAATATATGCATATGCCGTAATTTCGTTTAAATTTCGTGTACAATTAAAAAGAATTTTTAGGCATTACCATCCTCTGTGGCTCGTAGACGCTAGTTTTCTTAGCTTGTGGATATAAGACTGACAATGAGATAATCGCTGGCTGAAAATCAGTTCATTTTATTTACATTGTTTCGTCACTTTCCCAAATTAAATTTAGAGGTCTTGTACTAGAATTTTACGATAAAAATTAAGAAGTAAAATAATTGAAACATTCACGAATTATCTGTAACGTATGTATATTTTATTTTATAATATATTCTATTTAATATATTTCTTATTTCCATTCGTGCAGTTGATTGTATCTACTACAGAGAAATATATATTTCCTATTTTGCAACGTATAATTCCTTCCATTTAATATAATTAGTCTTATATATTTATATTCTATACAAATATATATATATATATATATATATATATATATATATAAAATATATTTAAATCGCATGTTTGCACGTGTGTTTCTTAATTTTTGTTATAAATTTTCATAATAATCGTCATCTTCGTAATAATCGTCATCTTCGTAATAAATGTGCACATTTATTAGAATACATAAATATACATATTTAAAAATTATTTTTCTCTATCATAATATTTACAAATTTTATTAAAAGTATTATAAAATATGGGCATATATTGTCTCTCATATTTATAGATATAAAAGGAATAGCAAGGAGATAAAATAATATAATTTTTTTTTAATTATTTCTGGAATTATATTATTCTATTTTCTGTTTGATGCGTAATAAATTCGCAAATGATGCAATTCTCTTCACTAATTATCTCTTTGTAATTTTTGTTTGCAGAATATTCTTTATGTTTAATGAATAAATATTTTTCACAACTCATATATTTTTCGCAATTCAAATTAAGATTTTTAAAGATTTGGAAGAAAAACAATTTTGTTCTCTTTGTTCTCCCCATCAGTCAATCTGCAGATAATCTTTTTGATCTTATTACAGCATTTGTTGCAAATAATAAGATAAAATTATTATCATTTATTATTATTATTATTATTTATATGCTAGAATGGAAATAAAAATTGCTACTAATGAAAATTAGTTTTGGAAATACTGAATAAAATAAGATAATTTGACAGTCTAAAATAAAAAAGAGATAAATGTGTACATAAAACAACGTATTATCAGCCAGCAATTATACTTAAATATTAAGTATGTAAATATATCCATTACTTATTTGGAATATTATGTTATCTTATCTGATTTTAATAAATCCTTATACGTTAAGTTTTTTTTTAATTATTCGATTCTAAAAAATACTTTGAGTTTCACGATTTCAAATGTTATTGAAAAAATATTTCTGGCGTTGGATGACAATCTGAAAAATAATATATAATAAATTTCGAGAGAATTAATATTACAACACAAATATCTAAATATACTTTTGCATAATCGATTGCCATATACCGTTTAATATTCGTTAGAAACGAAAGAGTCCTGACAAGAAATGCTAATTAATTTAGAGGCGATGCACAAACTCGACCATGCTTGGAAGCGCTTCCGCTTGGTTACAGTATGCCATTGACGTGATACTTGTTCACCTATCTTTCGTGCCATGCACGATTCTTAAAAATAGCTGTAACCTGCGTATATATTTTTTCCCTACATAATGCCACGCTCTACTTAACGACTAAGGAATAATGCATTCCGCGGGAAACGCGCAGAAAATTGCTCTTAAAGGCAATAACTTCGAGTACAACTAGTTAAGAAGAACGATTAATAATACGTAATCGCAAACTGATGATAACAGTTACGAGCATCATGTATATTATGAATCGGAAAAATTTCAGTATTACTTGTTTATATATTTTTTTTCAATATTTGCAATTTGTATCCATATGATAATAGTAGATTAATCCTTTAGAGATTAAAACGTTTTTCTTTGTCTCTCGACAAAATTTTCTATACGAACAGTATAATAGAAATTTTAATTTACGAGGTCGCAATTTCATTGCACAATAGTGTCTTGTTAACCGATGATTGTATCGTTCCGTATGGCTTCTGTATGACATCATAGGTTAAAATCACCTTCCGTCGTGCGTTATATCGATCTGTGGGAAACACCTTTCGGTTCTTCATGCATTGCGTGTCCTATGAAAAATACGCTGGAAACGCATCATTTTATAAATATAAGGGTGTTTTTCCCGTGTATAATGTACACTTCATCGTTTATTTATAATGACATGTTATTCTGATGTTTTCTACGAAAACATTTACGGATATCATTTCTTACATGTGATTTCTATATAAAAAATAAGACAAACGGTTATTGAAAAAGGACATTTTTGAATTTTAGTCATTTTAAAGAATATTTTAATAAATTTAAGAAAACAGCATATATATTTTTAATATTTGTTATATGGTATATTATTTTTTTATTTTACTTTATTTTAATCTATAATATTTGAAAGAGTTTTACAAAATGTATTATTTAAGTATAGGGTGTCTACATATTTTAGAATATTTTTGAAATAAAAGTCAATCTATAAAATCAATTTTTTTCTATGCAATATCAAGGTATTTATATTTTTCGAATAAATGATAGAAAATGAATCGTCGATAGTACACTGAGAAAAAATTGTAATGATCATGAATTATTGTTATTTTTAGCAATAATTATATTTAAGATTATTATTACTATGCATAAAGGTATTATTATCAATATTATAATAGTAATCTCTCAATATTTTAAAAATAGAAATCTCTTAACTATAATTTTTTTTACGATGGCAATTATAATTGATTCTTTTTCTCAGTAAAGATTCTTATTTTTTTCTAAGTAAAAGATAAGATATTCAGGAAAAAAAAAGATCGATGATTATGCATATAATATTAAATATTTTTTAATCAAATATTTTTTATTTTTAAAAAAGTTTAAAGATTAATTACAAGAATTTTAATTATAGAAGTATAAAATGTCAAGATATACATAAAATTTAAAAATTGCTTACAACAAATTTTCTCAAAATTCTGTAAAAATAATTTTTAAATTAAGTGAAATAAAAGAAATTAAAAAAGACATATCGTATTTACATGTTTTCATATCTTTATGAGATTTTAAGTTTTATGGGCAATAAAATTTTATTAGCTATATCTGGTTTCTTCACTAACGTACATTTCATAAATCATAGTATTCATCATCGAATGTTATGTATGTAGTAGTATTTCGCATACAAATACTTATACAAATTTATATTTCTTGGAAAGATCTATATCTATACTGACTTGATAAATGAATATTTTTGTACATGATTCATATCATATGGATATGTATCCTTCATATTTTTTTTTAGAGAGCGGTAGATCGAATTATAAAAAGACATACAGAAATTGTTCCGGAATATAATATCAAAATATTTTGTAAAATTATAGGAGAGATATTTCTATAATTATTTTTTAAACATAAGTGTGAATGTGTGAAGTATATAATAAAATTTTGATTTTACACTAAAAAAAGTTTGTAAACTATTCTTAAAATGGGGAGAAATATCGCGTATTTATAAAAACAAATAAAATAAGTTAAAAAATAACTTAAATTTTTTTATTTCAATATTGTTTTATTAATAATTTGTAATTTATTTTTATTTTGAGCAGTATATCTCAATTAATTTTTAAATTTTTCTGTATTCCAACTTTACGTGTATACAAAGTTAATTTAATGAAAAAACTCATAAATAATTAAGAGAGAAAATGCATAAATAGACACGGAATTTTTCAAAATCGGTCAGCATCTCATTGCAGATACTCCTAGATATAGTTTTCTTTCTTTCTTTCTCTCTCTCTCTCTCTCTCTCTCTCTCTCTCTCTCTCTCTCTCTCTCTCTGATATGATTAAATCATTTAAAAAAATTTTTAACTTTATTTTCGTACTATTAAAGTTTGTCGTAAAATGCATAAATCATCACAAAATTATATGGGTATTTATGGATTATAAAGAATGAATCTATGGAATTTGCATGAATTTTTGATGCTTTATATTCTTAAGTAAAATTTTATTTAAATATCACCAATTAATTTAAATAACACCTTGATAACACTGTGTCTCACTGTTGCAATACATGTATTTATAATATATTTTTTTCTGGAATTATTTACGCATTACTTCGTATTACGTCATATTTCGCATTATCCGCATTACTGTGCTTTGATAAGTTTTTACAAGTTCAGCAAGTATAATAAACTAATAACCCAGACAAGGTTAAAACGTCTTAAAAAATAAGAATTATGTGTTGTAACATATCTTTTAGATACGCGTGAATAATTCTCTAAAAGTTTAAATTTATAATTATTTAATATTTTATATAAATAGGTAATGATTACAAAAAGATAATTTTTTTTAATTTAATAAAATAAGTTGTGAAAGTCAAAGTCAGAAATTTATTCTTTTAAACTGTGTACATGCTTAACGTTTCGGTAATAGAGCACAGTGTATGTACGTGTTTTCGCTTGTGTGCTTGTGTCATTTCTTCCAGTAACTATAGTCATAGTTTATTAGCAACAATTTTAAAACAGTTATTAAGTAATAATTAGTATTTTTTTCTAAAATTAAGCATTAGTAAACATGCACACAAACTGTCATGTAAAGATAAATACTCTAAAGATAGATACAAACTTGTTGCATATGTTCGTATTTTGCAACTTTGTATCATCGTATCGTTGCAACTTTGTATCATCGTATCGTTGCAAATAAGTACAAAAGACTATAACTTTCTTAATATATTTAATTAATTTTATTATTTTTGAATTTAAAATATTCTTTCAGTTTACAATATAAACTTTATACTTTTTAAAAATTTTTTAAAAATTATACTACAAATAGAATTTTAGAAATAAGTATTATTTACAAATGTTAATTACAGAACAAAATTAAAAAAAATGTTTATTGATAATAATGATGATTTAATATTATTATGTTCTGTAATTTTGCTTTATATTAATGAATAAATAATTTAAGTTTACAAAAATCAAAATAATTTATTTTTATTTGCTAAATTTAAAAGAAAAGTTAAATTATAGTTAATTATAGTTAATTAGTGATTAATTGTTTCGATTACATATAATTTCGTATTACTTAGTTACACAGCGCATTACATAGAATTACTTGGAATTTCCGGGTAATTCGCAATACATATACAAATTTTTGATAAATGAGACATCTCTCGGATAACACCAATAGTTGTAATTATAAAACTTAATATTTATATACATATACATTTCTTTAGAAAATTCATTTGCATAATATTTTATTTTTGAATTGAAAATTTAGAATTAAATTAAAATTAATTTTTTGTGCTCTGCACAGATTTGCACGTTGTAATTTACAATAGATTTTGTATTTTTGAAAATCTCAAAGCACTTTTGCTTAAAAATTAATATACTTTTTATTATGATCAAATTATAGAATCATTCTATTAAGCATTTTATTGATTGAATTAATATTAATAATAGAATATTAAAAAAATTTCAATTAAGTAAAATAAAAGTAATAATATGATAATGATAATGATAAGAGATATAAATATGAGTTATTTGCATAAATAATCTTTAGATTCTTTTTATAGAATTGTAGTTTAGTGCTTCAGAAAAGACTTATTTAACTTTTATAGTAATTATGTAGTGAGTGTATCTAGAAATGATCTAGAAATACAGGAAAATTTAATAAAATTTTAAATAAAAATAATCTATATTAGATTGATAAGAAGGTTTCTTACATAAATTAAGAAATAACACTAAAAAATGAATTTTTTTACGTTAAACGCATTGTTGCTTATGCATATATATTATTTGCTTAAAATTTTGAGATTTTTATTGTTTGCTTATGCATATATATTATTTGCTTAAAGTTTTGCGATTGAAAATTCATTTTTCTGTATATATTTACATATTACGATGTATCTAACACAGGCACATTTGAATTTCTTACCTCTTTAATTCCGTCTTTCCTGCTTAAATTTTGATTATTAATTGATCTTCAAATCGATTGATGCGTCAAAACGTTTTCTATAAATAACACGAAGAATCACGAAGTCACAATATAATGCGTGACAACATAACCACCGCGTTGGATCGTAGTTGAGTACAGACTGGTTATAGTCTGACCACTCCATTACACTTGTACTTGAGAAGCATATTTGTGGCTATACGTAACCAAGATACGACATATATTCTTTTTATCTTCGAGAATTATTATCGTTATCACCACCTCATTATCATCCATCCAGAATGTACTTCACCATCATCAATTACGTAGGTTGCGATTTGTTTTCAGTTGATTTTAATTAATGGTGATTTTTCTAATATTTTGTAAGATTTATCTGTAAACATCTGTTCCATCTGATTCATCTGTAACATTTTACATTATACTATCAAATTATTTAAAACATATTTATATATAAATCTATGGAAAATTTTTGACAAATTTAACTAATTCTTCTCTTTAATTGTGCATAAGTCGTGCATGCGTGCGTACATGCGTACTTCGTACATGCGTACTTCGTACGTACATGCGTACTTGGTACATACGTGCGTGCGTGCATGCATGGGTGCGCATATTCGCACGTCGTGCGTATCCATGTATGCGAATTAAATTATTGAAATAAAAAAATCCGTGCAAAATATTAGATAAATATGATGATTACAATTTCTTATTGGCTATATAATATATAATTTTATTTTATTAATTAATATAATAATAACATGAATCAAACTATTTATTTACATACATTTTTGTTTGTAAAATTCAGAAAGGAAAATTTTTATCACATTATATAACGCGGATGAAAAATAGAAATAAACGGAATTCATGAAGAAACGAGAACAATTAATTGGATTCCGTTGCGACATTGCTTTAATGGTGAGTCAAGATCGGGCACCATCGAATTACGAATTCTTTTCGCATACGTCAAAGATGATAAAAAAAGCTATGAGCTCATAATAAAATCAACTCATGGAATATATCGCGTTTATAGACAACTTTAAACTTAGTAAAACTTGCGATCAATGTATCATTATTTATTTCTTGACTTATAACATTCATATAGCTTTCGACAAATATAAACTGTAGATAAACATTAACAAGAATATGAGTAGAGATTTTTGCTACAGAAATTATTATCGCTTCAAATAAATTTGGAGAAGTATTATCTTGTATATTGTATGATGTCACAAAGATGAAAAATTTTAATTATTAATGCGATGAAATGAGGGATTATTTAATGATTGTTATAATAATTACATGTTAGTTAATGTTTATGCTTCGATAATTAATTTCTAAATAAAAAATATTTGACATTTTTAGAATAATAAATATATTATATAATAATAATAATGTTTATAGAACATGAGTACATAAGATTACGTTCATGCATGTAATGCGATTAATTGCGCATTTTTGTGTGAAAATTTCTATTTAGTGTAGCTATTATATATTAAATTTTACGTTAGAGGGATTATTTTGTGAATGTTTCCTTTATATTATATATTGAAATAAATTAGTTTTTTTTTATTTTAACTATTTATTCAATAGTATAAATTAATAAAACTTATCTTTCAATTTCTCTTTTTTATTATATCATTAATAAATGCGTATTTTATGAATTTTTCCAAAAAGAGAAAATTTAATTTATTTTATGTTTTTAGAAAAAGCGAAAACGGATCGTATAATTTAATTTTCCAAAAGAAAGAGAATCATTTCATTAATTTGCATTCGAATATGCACGATGGCATGCGAAAAAATATATATATTTTAACATACAATATAAAGAAATGTTTATGAGATTTATTCATTTGTAACATTATAATTCAAATACAGCTGTGGGAGAAAACAAGAAGGCTTTTTAAGAACGATCGAAGTCGAATGATTATTTTATTTGAACAATTTTATCTCTGTCAATCGAAATTGAAAATATTGGAACATCCGAAATGGGTGAGTCGTTAGAACGTAGGTATTGATCGGTGCAGTTGTTTCACTGTATTCTGCGGTATCGCGTACATGCTTGTAACCTACGTATAACATTAGTTCTGCATTGCGTCGCATCCGATGATGCATCTGAAATTGATTTTAGAATAATAATAATTAAAACATTGTAATTTCACAATTATTGAAAAAAATTGTTATAATATACCGTAGTATTCAGCATTTTTTACATACAAAATATACGACATAACGAATGATATAACAACGAAAGAGATAATTTTATATGCAAAAAATAATTTGAGAATGTGGGATTGATTGAACCACGCTTTATATTTTCAACAAACTTGATATTTTTGCAAATACTATTTTTTGCAAATACTGTTTCTACTCGCATTTAATTTGATTTTTCTTATTTTTAGTATTTTAATAACAACAAAGTCACAATATTTTAATATTTTTTTTTAAACTTATAACTGTTTATTTTTAATATTTTTATATTTTAATATTAATACAATAAATATTTTAGTATTATTCTTATAATTGTATACTTATAATTGTAATAATAGAATTTCAAAGTAATAGTTTTTTTAATACTTGCGATATAATGTACAGCAATATATATATATATATATATATATATATATATATATAATTAAATTCTTTTTACATTTGAAAATATTATACGGATATAATATCAATTTTCTATATTATTATAGTGTAACATACACATAGTTGTGAAATTAAAAGTATTTTATATTTATTATATAAGAAAAATAACAATTATATTATCGTAATTGAAAGTTTTCTGTTTATGCACACATTAAAAAAATTATTCTAATTGTAAGTTCTATTTTATCAATACTCGACATTATAGTTCAATGGTTAGTTAACAGATACGTTAAAAGATGGAGCTAATAGTCTTTATATGTGATTTATATGATTTTTTTTAACTATATAAATATCATTTTCTTTTTGATCAAAATTGTATCAATTTTTAATTTTTAATTCAGAAAGTACTATTCGAATAATCGGGAATATTATTTCACTAAACTTATGATGATTTTAACGATCACATAATCTTGAAATATTATGAAATAGCAAAGTTCATTCGGAAAATCTATCTGCTATTTTGTTATGACATTCAAAACATTGTATTTTCGAAATTGTGCCAAATTTTTCCTTTAATTATATGAAAATTTAGTTTCAATTTATTTACTAAAAGATAAAGATATTAATTTTTTATGTGATTTTTAAATCTAATATTTTACATAAATGTAAGCATCAAATTATAAAGTTCTGTTTTCATAAGATCTTCAATTTTATTTGCATATATTTTTTAAATGATAATAAGGAATACATTACATATAACTAAAAAATGCACTAAGGCCAGATCTTTTACTTTTCACGAGTCATTGATTTACCTAATGTATATCTGACATAGATGTTTTATTTTTAACCACTCAGACAAGCAGGTGGGAATTGCGAGCCTTTGCTAAAATGGCCAAAGATTATTATTCACGTATATCACTGCTTTGGCGATGTTTCGAAAAACGCAGTGTTGTTGCCAGAGATTGCCGAAATTTTGGCATCTTTTGACGGACAAAAGTGCATTATTATTGAGTAATAGAACATATACAGAAATTTAATGTTTTTTGTTGGTTTCCCGATTTTATTGCTTTAGCTACTTCATTAAAATTAATTGTACTCGCTCAAATTAAAAATTAGCATTAGTTAAAAAAATTGAAAATATATTGTTTGTATTATATGTATATTTTTAATTATTATTTTATTGCTAATTTTCAAAATTACTCTATTTTCAGAATATTTGCTATATTTTTAATGCAGGAAAATACATTATTTATTATGCGAATAATCTAACATAATATATTATAAATATTATTTCGTCGAATCCTTTGAAACATGATATTTTTTGATATTGCTTGAAAAACAAATTTTTTCATTTAATTACTAATTTTTACTTTAATAGTTTTCAAAGAATTGTGGAAATGTTATTTTATTATTACAATTATTTTAAATTATTTTGTAGGATAAAAAGATTTTTTTAAATATTATATTAGATATAAAAGATCAATAATAATTATTTATTTGAGTTTTAAGTATAAATAATTATTTATTTGAGTTTTAAGTATAAATTTAAAAAATCCTGAAAAAACTACTAAACCATAAAAACTATTGTAATAAAAAAATTCATTACATTATAATTTTTATAAAGGGTTAATCTTGTCACTGATATATATTAACAATAAGTTAAAGACTGAATTAAAAGAGATGGGTTAAAAGGACTATGGATAAAAAGAGATATTTCAAATATCCGATACGAAAACAAAATTCGCACAATTGCTAGTTGTATTATAAATGAGAATTTTTAACACGCAACGCATGCGCGACAGAGTTAGAACTGCAAAGAAGGGGTCCGTTCTGATAGTGCGTGGGCGCCTTGTCTGCGGAATTGCGTGTTACCCTTATATCTACCTCTATACAACCCTCCCTTCCGTTCATTTATTTATGGCGTCTTACTTTTTCCACTTTCGAAATTTCCAACTTTCGCGATTCGCCGATAATGAAAGAGATATATAGATAAATAAATATAGATAAATAAGAGATAATATATATATAGATAAATATACATAGATAAATAAAAGAGATGTATATATAGATAAATGAATAGAGAAGCATTTATAGTCGTTCTAAAGGACAGACTTAAAAAAAGCGTGCAAATTATAAATGTATTTAAGACAATAAAATGCTTAGATTAACGAGAATTTTTTTATAGAACAATGATTTTAATTTTTAATGTGACATGAGAAATAATATATCCGTTTCATACTTACGTTGATAATATAACGATAACATAATGTTTGCCTTGATCATTTACATACAACAAAAAAGTTATATACGAAAAATAATATATATTTACTGTCGGTATTGTTCATCGTCTTTATAGAGTGATGATTTGTTCATGGTTGGCTGTTTGATTACGCAAGACTCGAGCGATGTCTCTCACATGTCATGTAATCAACATCAGGTGTAATTCTTCATTGATTTTCCATTGACATATTCAATCCGATTAAAGTTAATAAATCATATTAAAATAGTAAAGGATATTAAAAAATTAGTTAACTTTTTTGGATTATGTATTAGAATTTTTGTTT